ATTTTCATGAATTCTAATTTTACCCGGACATACTCAGCATCCGAAAGCAATTTGTCGACAGATGAAGCAAACGGGCACTACATACATTTATTTAGTATAATTTGCCTAACGGACCATCTCAGAGGATTTTGTAACTAATATAAAAGTTTGAATTTTAAATTATTTAGTTGAAAATAAGCAAGTCCTTCTTATTTAAAAATTAGCAAATGCAAATTCAGAAGCATTTGTTTGATATTATTATGCTGTTTGCATAATATCATACGTTGTAGATTTATCATTTATTTACGTAAATTTTTATGTAATTCAATTAAATAAAAATGCCTCTGTAGAACAATATACCTATATAATCGGCAATGCAGACTTTTTCATTCACAGATTTAGGCAAGTTACAAAATTCGTTGAACTAAACACCAATTTAAAGCTTAGTTAGCTTTCCATTAACATAGCTCTAAAATTTATACCCTCTTTTGTATATTAGCTTTTTCCCCTAAGGGAAAAACTACTATATTGCCAGTTTTCCGGTGGGTAAAGCTACTTTATCGGGGGGAGGGGGGGGGGCTCCTATACAACAGCTAAAAGCAGAAATGTTATGTTGCATGTCGTTTTCACTTAGAATTTTAAAATGTAAATTGAAAGAAAACCATGTTTAATTAAGCCTGACAGACTACTTGACAACTTTCAATGTTAAATGTATTTTTTGTGCGTAGCAGTTGTTCAACTTCTAAATTCAGACACATGGTGATTCTACAAACAATCAAAATTTTTGCTTTCTAATTTAAAGTTATGTGGGAAGAACTATCCAAAACTTATAATCTGTTGTCCAATTCAATTCGTTTATTAAATTATTTACAAACTAGATTTAGGAATGGTACATTTGCTTAGTTAGCCTGGCCATGCTTCTAATTTGCTATACTAGTAGTACATATACTACGTCATCTTTTAAGAGCTTCCTTTTATTTTTTCAATATCTTTTTTTTTTTTTTGTATTTCTCCCTGAAAGAATAGGAATTTTGTGTGCCTCTTTAAACTGAACAAATTAATAATTATTGTATGAATTTTTTTTCTCAAGATTTGTGGAAAAATTTCTTTTAAAACTGCATTACAGTGGAAACCTTCCATGTGTAATTACCAGAGATTTTAATGTCAACCACCCCAATTACTCCATTCACATCGAAGGGGAATCTAACAAATAACAACATCCACCTTCAATTTTTAAAGTACCCCAGTATTAAGGCAATTAATCCAATAAAGTTTTTCATATTAAAATACTGTATAAAACTTTTTTCCAGAATGTCAATGACCATCAAGCACAAGATTTAAAATAGAATAATCATTACTTTTCAATTCTTTTCGTATTCTTGACATGGTTACTGGTGTCCCTATTTTATTTTTTCATTACCCAGATGCCAATGGGCCACAGCGCTCACGTTTTTCCGACAAATTTTATGACCCAGTTGATCTTTAAAAGCAGTTTTTAACAGATATCTTTCACACCCACACCCATATATATATATATATATATATATATATATCTATCTATCTATCTATCTATCTATCTATCTATCTATCTATCTATCTATCTTCATTCCCATGTTAAATGCTGACCTCTTGTTGTATCCCCGTCCTCATACTAGGGACCGTATTTCAACGAAATCGATGGAGATACTTCAGTTGTTCTGAGGAAAGTGTCGAAAATAATACAAGTTTACAGATAAACAAACAGATGGACCTGGAATGAATGTGACAAGAAAAGCTAACCTGAGCTTTTAGCTCAGGTGAATTATAAGAAAAAACCCTTGAATCGATGTAATTTGACTTCATGTGATTCTTGAATGGAGGATTTTTTTTATTGACTTTTATCCTTTATGTAGCCACACTGTAATCCCAAATGCGGCGATTCAAATAAATTTGAATCTGTGCTACCTGAGAATGCTTGCATTCTTATCATGGCTCTGCTGTTGCTTTTGATAAGATTTTTCCCATACGCCTACATCCCAGTGTAAAAATTTGATCCTCAGTTGTATCATATATCCAAGTTACATGGATTCATGTTTTATATGTCTCTGTGTAAACCATTTATCTCCTACTATGGCCCCACCCTATCTCGAGGGCCATGATTTAAAAGAAAAACCTTGAATCTGCGCTGAGAATGCTTGCATATTAATTAGACTTATCATGGCCCTCCCATTCCTGACTAGATTTTTATTTTTATAAAGTTGTTTTCCCTATTTTTTCTTTTTCTTTTTCTTTTTTTTTTAATGTAAAACTTTGATTCCCAATAGTGGTCTCATTCTATCCGTGGGGGCATGATTTGAGCAAAGAACGAGGGCGCTTTTGATTGCATGGTATTCGGCAGGAATCTGGGCGAACTTGAAAAGTGAAAATTTCATTTATCTGTCACATGAAATATTAGCATTCTTTTGATGTATCGGGTTCCTGTGAAATAGGAAAGGGAAATATTTTCCCGATATTGCATTTTGACGTGCTAAAAAAGAACTTGAAAATTGGCTTGATGAGTCATTTGGTACAAAATGTTACATTTTTAAACGCGTTTTTCTAAAAATTTGCTATCTCTGGGTCATCTCTCCATGATTTTGAAACGTTATTTGTGTGTCTTTTGATTCAAAGAAACTAACAAACATTTGTAAAATATAGAGAGAAGACCCAGAGACGATAAAAAATGAACTTTTTCAAAAAAAAAAATTCCAATGTGTAAATGCGGTGCTTTATTGTCGCTTTAAAAACCTTAAAGTGTGTATAGTGGTGATAGCTCAGTAGTATGCGTTACCCAACCAGTGCAATGAAAATGAAATACTTTTGGTTCGATCCTCGCGTGGAGCGTTAATATATTTTTTTTTAGTACAAACAATCAATTCTTTTGTCAATTTAATTTTATGTACTGATTTATTTTCAAATTGATAAATTCTGGTTCTGTTGCACCGAGAGCGAAAGCAATTCTTCCAACCTACTGATCAGATATACACTTGTAATTTTCATTTAACTATACCCTGTAGGTGTTTGCATTACTAAGTTTTACATGCAGTAATTATTAAGATAAGCGGACTGATATATTAAATTTGACAAAGGATTTCAGACAAAGTGTAACATTTTCCCATGTGCGTAACTTTGTAAAGTGTGTCCAGCTGTTGTCAACCGACCAAATCGTAGACATTTAAACTATAAATGTTTCGTACGTTTTATTCCTGCAGATCACACACCAAACACGCCCATCTTCTTTAAATACTATTAGAAAAAAATCACACAAGTTTTGTTTTTTGGTACATTTAGTACTGCTCTTCTTGAGAGTTTTAGAAAGTGCCACGAAATTTTCCTTTTTAGCCGGGCTTATTGCTCAAAGAGCAATTGCCGGCTATTGTCAGCCTGTTCAATGCAGGAAGTGTTGCCCCCATAGTCGCCAAATTAAAGTTACGTGTAAAAATATAGTACTTACTCTCAACCACTTTTGAGATAATACAAATGCTAAATAAAGCAACAAAAATGAAACGAAGTTTTATCTATACAAATAAACATCAGTAGTAATGACTTTGAAAACTTCAGTCCAAAGTCAAACACAATAGTTCATCTGCGTAATGTTTTTTTATAGTCAATGTTGTCGTAGCCTAGTTCTCTACAAAGACGGAGAAAAGCAGGAGAGGGAACCAGATACATTCGGCGGTGCCATGTTAACTCTGACCCTGATAAATTCGGACTGTGGTTTTAGGTCCCCAAAACTAATTGGTTTATCATTTATTTTGATATTTTAAAATAAATTTTTCATAAGATTTTTAACAATTATTTTCAAATAAGATGTCATTGAACCCTTATTTTTATTATTATTATTATTTTTATAATTGTTTGTACATATTCTTCCAATGTCTGCAGAGCTCATTATTTAGCTGTTAATACAATGTATAGGTATGGCTCATGTTTAAAAAAAAAAATATCAGCTTTGTAAATAAGCCCGGCTCTCTGTACTCCTGAGTACTTTGATTTTCCTAATCATCTTCCCTTTATTCAAATCTAGCATGATGATATTCATTACATATTCAACAAATTAAGGCTATATATGGCGTATCTGAGCTAAAAAATAAAAATACGAGATTGAGTGTAGATGAACATGATATTTGTTATTTACGTTCAAATCAAAAATTTTCACCGATTTGAACTTGAATAACCTCACATTTCCATAATTAAATTGAATTGACTTTAAAACTGTGTCTGATATTTAAATGCGGAGTCAGTAAATAAATCGGTTATTGTTTAAAAAGATTATCTGACTTTTCTTGACATGTTTTATAAGATATTTATAATAATAAACCGTTCCAGGTGTTATTTTCTCATTGTGAAAATGACGGTTTATTCCCCGAACTACCCATGTATGTCAAATGCACAGTCTCACATGACTTAAACTGTTTATATATATTTTTTAATTTATCATCTAAGCACAAACATGATTGTCAAATAGACTCCTTCATAATTTAACATTCAAATTACCATTAATTAAGTTAAATCAACAGTTTAATTCTTAACTTTTTGGATTCTTATGGACCTATATTCATTATTCAATATTGCTTTGAATTTCAACAAAGAAAGAGCTAATACTAGGGAAAGGAAAACCAATATTCCTGTTAAGAGTTTTTCATATTTTCACACATTTATTTACACTGAAAATATCCCAAAAGAAATCTTTTCCAAGAGTGAAATATAAATATATATTTAAATACAAAACATTGAATACTATATGTGTACTTCAAAAAGCGGTCTCCATATTTTAGCGGGTTTGGCGCAGACAACGATGCCCTAATTCATGAATACCACTAAGAAATCATTCATAAATACATTGTATGGCAAGGACATGTATAGCGCTAATTCATGATTTCGCCAACAACTCCATACCTAGTGATTGCGCTAAATTTTGAATACATGTACGTCAATTTATGTACACGTACAGTATCCTCTACGTATTACAGTATACTGATTGATTAAAATAAATGAACAACTTTGCATTCCTCACTTTTTATTCTTAAATGCTTAAAATTACAACAGAGATTATTCCTGCAGATTTTCTTTTTTCCCAGTTTTCAGAAAACTGCATAAAAAGTGAGATAACTCTATCTACAAGTCTGAAACGGTCCTGAATGTTCTGAACAGATTATTCAAAGACCTCATAAGAGCATCAGCTTCACTTAATAGTCACTGATTAACTGTCGTTAACAATGCAGATCCTGTCTCAGCAGACATTCACTAATGACCAGATGTCATCTTGCCAGCTTTGCACGTTTTTCAGGAGGAGGTTTGATGCTGTTTGTTTTATCATCTGCTTTCTCCTGCTTTATCTCCTGTTTCACAACAGTTTCTTGTTTAACAGGCTCCTCTGAAAACGGTGAAAATCCTCAGTAGCTATGTATCACAAATCTACTGATCTATCTGTTGAAGATTATATGCTAATACAAAATTTCTCTAAGGTGTTGCTTTTAAAGCAACAACAAGAGGCCCAAGGGCCTTAACGGTCACCTGAGTACAATACAACAATTTAGAGGATCCATAGAGTATTAAAATGAAATGAAAGGTGAAGCTTTGTTGCCCAAGAGCAAGAAAAATAGGGTGATCAGGATCAATAAAATAATTAGTCTACTATTCATTAACAGTTCATAAATTAGGTTCTAATCTGTTCCCCGTTTATCACTATCACCATACAGTATATTAACAAATCATCAGTGCTTTTGTACTATTTTAATTCCTTGTTATAATCTCTTACATTGGCCTCTATTGGTCTTTGATGAACATTTAATAAGACAAGTTATTTTTGTCTCATTTTTATTTATCTATTACTTACAAGTCCACATGATCATTAAAACTATGAAAATACTTTTTGTATTATACAATAAAAATTCTTGCATAATTCTCTTATTCTATTAATTTTTCAAGTACATTATTTACAGTGATTAATTATCAAAAGTAAACGGCAAAGGGGAATAACTCCTCTCAGTAGAATGCAAATTAATTGAGCCCTGGCTAGGACCAGAATACTTGACCAAATGGTCCAGATGTTCAAAAATCTGGTAAAAATACCCTTCCTTATTACAACTTTTACACTTTTTGCCTCTGATATGCCCAAGTGCAGAGAAGATTTTTAAATAAATAATGCATTTTCACTACAGATTCACTGTATTATCAATAGAGCCCCCCCCCCCCCCTTCACCACCGAGAAACACCAGAGCCTCTCATCCTGGGACCAGAAGTTTCAAGTTTGCTCATCATAAGTAATCACTTTGTTTAACTGCTTAACATTAAGGAGTAGACAGGATTATTTAATAGAATTAATGCATTTTCACTAAATTATCAACAGCCCCACCCTTATACCAGCACATCTGACCCAGGGGTCATGCAATTCACTACTCTGGAAGAAGCACTCTTGCTCATCATAACTATATACTTAGCTTCTTTGCTTTTTAACCAGAAGCAGAAAAGAATATTTTCAAAGAAATTTTGATTTTTCACTATATAATCAATAGAGCCCCCCCCCCCCCCTTTTGACCAGAACCCTTGACCCTGGGGCCAAGAAATTCACAATTTTAGAAGAGGCATCCTTGCGTATCATAACAATGTACTTAGTTTGTTTAAATAGTACCCAGGGGCAGAGAAGAAGATTTTCAAAGAAATAATTCACCTTCACTGTAGGAGCTACATGTATATAGCCCCACCCTAGCACCAGAACCCCTGTCCCTGGGGCCATGAATTTCACAATTTTGGAAGAGGTGCCCTTGCTTATCATAACAATGTACTTAGTTTGTTTAAATAATACCCAGAAGCAGAGAAGAAGATTTTTAAAGCATTAATGCATTTTCACTATATAATAAATAGAGCCCCGCCCTAACATCAGAACCCCTGACCCAGGGGCCATGAAATTCACAATTTTGGTAGAGTCACTCTTGCTTATCATAACTATGTATTTAATTTGTTTAAATAATACCCAGGAGTAGAGAAGAAGATTTTCAAAGAAATAATGCACTTTCACTGTATAATAAATATAGCCCCTTCCTAGCACCAGAACCCCTAATCCTGGAGCTATGAATTTCAAAATTTTGGTAGAGTCTCTCATGCTCATCATAACTATGTATTTAAATCATTCAAATAATACCCAGGAGTAGAGAAGAAGATTTTCAAAGAAATAATGCACTTTCACTATATGATCTATATAGCCCCCCCCCCCCCCCCAGCACCAGAACCCCTTACCCTGGGGCTATAAATTTCACAATTTTGGTAGAGTCACTCTTGCTTATCATAACTATGTATTTAATTTGTTTCAATAATACCCAGGAGTAGAGAAGAAGATTTTTAAAGAAATAATGCACTTTCACTATATGATCTATATAGCCCCGCCCTAGCACCAGAACCCCTGACCCTGGGGCCATGAATTTCACAATTTTGGTAGAGGGCTCAATGCTTATTACAATCATATCAACAGTTTGACTGCTTGATGTCCAGGAGTAAAGAAGAAGATTTTTAAAGATTGCATTAATTTTGATGGTTTTAGCGCCACCCCTCAGGCCCCAGGGGGGCAGGGACCATGCAATTCACAAATTTTGTTCCCCTTCACACATATATCCCATATGCAAAAATTGGCTGAAATTGATTCAGTGGTTTCAGAGAAGAAGCTGAAAATGTTCAAATGTTAACACATGACGCAAGACGGACGACGACGGATAGCAATAGGTCACCTGAGTGACTCAGGTGACCTAAAAAGCTAGTTTCACTTTATCCATAAAATGGCCCTGCCCATATACCAATTAAATGACCAAGTCCTAATGTCCCATTTCAAACATCAATTAAAAGTAGAGACTAAGTGCTTTCATTTCCTATTAAAAAGTTTTCTCTGAGAGTCCATGTATTGAAAAACAGGCTTTGTGAAATGGCAATATTCCTGAATTTTGAAAAAAAAAAAAAAGTGTATTTGATTACCTTCTACAAAGAATTAAAATATGAGCCAACTCCTCGATCCAAAAAAAAAAAATAATAATAATAATATAAATAAACAAGAGGCCCAAGGGCCTTAACGGTCACCTGAGTATAATACATGTACAACAATTTCGAAGTTAAGGACATACGCAACGTACCTTACCTACTGATAATTTTTCAAGATATTCTTAATTTAAGATTATAATGCCATTAGATGTTCGTAGACAAAATTTCAGCATGCATTACCAGGGGTTTTGAAAAGATATCAATTGATGAAAATTCATGTATAATTTAAAAAAAAAATACAAAAATACTAAATACATATTCTAGATGTTTAATTTATCCAAACTTGTTTTAGAAGAAGTGTACACAAGCATAAATAGACATTAAAATGTAGCACACAGTTCCTTTAGGTATTGGAACTCTTCAACTCCAGGGAAAAAGACAATAAAGTTCAAACTACGTTACGTATGTCCTTAAATACACTGATAGATGAAGCAATGTGCCCTAAAGCAAGAGAAGTAGGAAGATCAGGATCAACAAAATAATTAGTCTAATATTCAGTATCAGCTCATAAATTAAGTTCTAATCTGTCCCCCACTTAACACTATCACCATGCAGACTATTGACAAACTATTAGTTCTTCTGTACTATTTTTAAACCCATATTAAGACCTCTAGCATTGACCTCTCTTATGGTCTTTGAAGAACTTTTAATAAGATAAGTTATTTTTGTCTCATTTTTATTTATCTATTACTTACAGGTCTACCTGATTATTAAAACTAAGACAGTACTTTTTCAATTATACGATAAACATTCTTCCATAATTATCTTATTCTATTAACCTTTCAAATACATTATTTACAGTGATTAATTATCAAAGGTGAATGGAAAAGGGGAGTAACTTCTCTCAGTAGAATACAAATTAATAGAGCCCTGCCCAGGACCAGAATGCTTAGACGAATGGTCCAGATGTTTAAAAATCTGGTAGACATACACTTACTCATATCATTTAAACTTTTACTCAGTTTGCTTCCAATATGCCCAGAAGCAGAGAAGAATTTCACAGGTACAAAGCATTTTCACTACAGATTCAACAAAGCCTCACCCTAACACCAGAACCCAAGACCAAGGGTCAAGAAATTTACAAATTTGGAAGAGTTACCCTCATCATCATAACTATGGACTTCAAAGAATTAACACTTTTCCACTATATTATCAAAAGCCCCCCCCCCCCCCTTCGTTATGCCAGAACCCCTGACCCTAGGACCACAAGATTTAAAAATTCTGTTCAAAGCTCCCATTTTCATCATAGCTAAGCAATTTATTTATCAGCTCAACACTAAGGAGCAGACAGGATTAATTAACAGAATTAATGCTTTTTCACTATATAATCAATAGAGCCCCCCCCCTCCCCCCTCCTCCTCAAGAACCCCAAAAACTGAGGCCATATATTTAAAAATTTTGGAAGAGGCATCCTTGTCTATCATAATCATGCACTTAGTTTGTTTAAATAATCTCCAGTAGCAGAGAAGAAGATTTTCAAAGAATCAATGCATTTTCACTATATAATCAATAGAGCCCCACCCTAACACCAGAACCCCTGACCCTGGGGCCATGAAATTCACAATTTTAAAAAGGCATCCTTATGCATCATAACCATGCACGTAGTTTGTTTAAATAGTCTCCAGTAGCAGAGAAGAAGATTTTCAAAGAATCAATGCATTTTCACTATATAATCAATAGAGCCCCGCCCTAACACCAGAAACCCGACCCTGGGGCCATGAATTTCACAATTTTGGAAGAGGCACTCTTGCTCATCATAACTATGTACTTAGTAACTTTATTTAATACTCAGGAGCAGAGAAGAAGATTTTCAAAGAATTAAAGCATTTTCACTATATAATCAATAGAGCCCCACCCTAACACCAGAACCCCTGACCCAGGGGCCATGGGTTTCACAATTCTGAAAGAGGCCCACCTCCTCATCATAACTATGTACTTAGTTTATCACCTTAATGCACAGGAGCAGAGGAGAAGATTTTCAAAGAAATAATGCATTTTCACTATATAGTTGATAGAGCCCCGCCCTAACACCAGAACCCCTGACCCTGGGGCCATGAATTTCACAATTTTGGAAAAGGTACTCTTGCTCATTATAACTATGTACTTAGTAACTTTATTTAATACCCAGGAGCAGAGAAGAAGATTTTCAAAGAATTAATGCATTTTCACTATATAATCTATAGAGCCCCGCCCTAACACCAGAACCCCTGACCCTGGGGCCATGAATTTCACAATTTTGGAAGAGGCACTCTTGCTCATCATAACTATGTACTTAGTAACTTTATTTAATACCCAGGAGCAGAGAAGAAGATTTTCAAAGAAATAATGCACTTTCACTATATGATCTATATAGCCCCACCCTGGGGCCAGAACCCCTGACCCTGGGGCCATGAATTTCACAATTTTGGTAGAGGGCTCAATGCTTATTACAATGATGCCAACAGTTTGACTGCTTGATGTCCAGGAGTAAAGAAGAAGATTTTTAAAGATTGCATTATTTTTGGTGGTTTTAGCCCCACCCCTCAGGCCCCAGGGGGGCAGGGACCATGAAATTCACAATTTTTGTTCCCCTTCACCTATAGATGCTATATACCAAATTTGGTTGAAATTGGTTGAGCAGTTCTAGAGAAGAAGTTAAAAATGTTCAAAAGTTAACGCACGACGGACGACGACGGACAAAAACAGATAGCAATAGGTCACCTGAGTGACTCAGGTGACCTAAACATGGATTATAATCTTCTGAAAGAGTTTTTTCATTACATAACTGAACATTTTGGATCAGAGGTTGAGGTTGAGGTTGGGGCCATTTTTGAAGAAGTTTTCAGGATTTGTGGATAATGATGCAATTAAAGACTTCATAATACAATGATTAGCCAGAAAATTACATCATCTTTAATAGATATCATAATGGATATGCAGTCACAAAGGGTCCAAGTGAAATTTAATGGATTTTTAACTAAAACTGAGCAGTTCTAATTTTTCAGAAATTCACAGGGCCAAAAAAGGCCCAAGTTAACCTTGTTCTCTAATCAATGATTCTCCTAAGCATTATTTCAGTACAGTTTAAAGTAAAATATTATCTATGTGGGAAAAATATTAAATTGTTCTCATCCAATGGTGTCCACAGATCTCTTGAAACTTCCATGCAGTCTGACTTGTTTAAGCATCATACTGAAAATTCATTATCTAGCCACAAATAGAATAACTTTATTACTCTCTACCTTTAGTGTCTGGCTGAGCCGGTTGGATGATTTTCGGAGGAAATTTCTTGGCTAATTCTCCCAGGAGGTTATCCACTCGATGTCGCTGAAACAGAGAACTCGGCTCTTCCTTCTTTTTTTTGTCAGCCGATTCCTTCTTCTCTGTTACAAGGAAAAAAATCTGTTATACAATACTCAATTCTGGCATTCAACACTATGAACCTCAAGGAACACCATCTTCATAAACTGCAACTGGAATGTTAAAGACTTTAGAAAAGGAGTTCTGCCATTAACTGTTAATGTCAGTGTGCCCATTGTGGTATCACAATGTAAAAGGGCATGTTGTTCCCCTTAGAAACATATGTCTATGTTAGACACAAGTACCTCTTCTTCATCTTTATATATGGATACACAAGGAAGGAGTTGGGGATAAATGGGATTAATTGAGTTATACATCCTCTACTTCTAAATTTTGCTTTAAAAATAAATTTTTTAAAAATTCCCCCAGCTTGGTGTTATTTTCTGGCAAAAATTTTTGACATATCTACCAACATGCAGCAACTCTGGATTCTTGCAAAGCCCTACAACCCTGATAATTTTTTTAGAGTTAATTATTCTTTATAGCTCAAAATCATAGTCAAAATATTAAAGTGATAAAGCATATCTATCCATGATGGTATATTTTTTAACCAAATTTAATTGACTACGTCGAAGGAGTGATCCTAACAAATAGAATGACAGACAGACAGATGGAGAAAACTCTATTGACCACCTTTCAGCAAAAAGTGATTGTAACATCATTCTTAATGGCCCCCTGAAGAAGCGTACTCAAATATAACTTTAACACATACCAGTTTCATCTTTGTCTGAAAACTCCCAGGAATAGCCTTTTGATGGATGATAACGGGAATAGGACATCGCTAATGAAACAAAAATGTGAAATACATGTACATCTATTACACTGAAAATTGTAAACTAATACATATAGATCTAATCAAGCCTCATATAATTTCAAAATTCAAATATATAAACCTACATGTAATTCCATTCTACACTGAACATTCATTTCAATTTGGTATTTAATTTTACACTTTTGAAAGCAAATTGAAGACTGTAAGAAAAAACTTTTTTTGCAGAACTTCATCGTAATTTGATTTTTTTAACTTAATTTTAAAATAAAAGTCTGTGTCTTTGCCATAAAATTTTTTTAAAATGCCATCATGTTATTCATCAGTTTTAGTGTGAGCTTTATATAAATAAAAATTAAGTTTCTTGTCCTCCCTTTTTGACAGCTCAGACTTTAGAAAATCAAACTTTTCTTAAAGTACACTTAATATGCTGTTCTTATTTAGTGTTTTAAAAACTATATTAAGTCAGGATTCCGTAAATAAGAATACTCACCTTCATCAAAAGCCGACTGTAAACTTGACACAGTGTTTAACTATATGTAACAAAAGAATTACAGTTGAACTTTGGTATCTCCAACACTGATATCTTGAATACCATGGATATGTTGAAGTGATTGGGAAATCCCACCCCTTAGCCTTTAAGTATTTTACCCTGGATATCTCAAATCCTCGGGTCCCATTGAGTTTGAGATAACAAGGTTTGACTGAATCTTAATTAGGAGACCACTTCAAAAACTGGTGGATGAACTTTATATGTTACTTAAGTTAAGACAGCAAGGAAAAAAAATTCAAATGTCACTGAATATAAAAGTTTCGCAGTGCAGTGTTCACATATTATATTTCCTTTTTATTTTAATTACTTTTATTATTACTGTATTAATACATTTTCTTATGTACTTTTCCTTAATTTTTCTTGAAAAGAAAATTCCGATTCAATTTGATTTGCATCAGTTCTCAGTATTTCAATACAATATATTTTGTTCACTTTTTTATCAAAATAAAGTACCAAATTAACCAAGAAAGTATTTGGCCATCTTTAAAAAAAATGTCTGTTTGCCTAATTCAAAACTTTTTTATATAAACCTCCAGGATATAATTATTAATTTTAGTCATTATGAACTTCTTCATCCCATTATGAATATTTTAACTTCATATTAGCAAGTGTTTTTGAATAAAAAAAAAAAATTCCCCCTACCTACCTTCCTAATTTTTTTTTATCATGAGTCTGGAAATTGGCTAGCAAAAATTTTTTTTAAAGATGGCTTTAACAGTTATATTTTTTGATGCAACTTCAAATACATATTTAGATATTAATTATTAAATAAACAAAGAGAAATGACTAGACCTCTCCTTACAATTTAAGAAACTTTTTTAATTTTGGTTTGAAGAACTTTGCATATACATCTAAACCTTGTTATCTTGAACTTGATGGGAAAAACTTTGAGATATCCGAGGATTCCAGATACATGTATTGGGGGTAAAATACTAAAAGAAAGTGGTTGAAACTTGAAAATCAGTTCGAGATATCATTAGTATAAGATATTAGTGTTTGAGATACCGAAGTTAAACTGCATTTAGAGTTTAAAGGTATACATTTATTCAGGAGAACAACAATTTTGAAAAACATCAAAAAAACTTATGGTAAAGACAAGTTTAAATATCAATACATAGATCTGATGTACATGTATTGATACATACTGAAACTGCCATTGTATTGGTATTTTCAATATATTGATAGCAATATACAGCCCTACTTAATATTACATAATTATTCTGGTCATTTTGAAGTTGATGTAAGCACATAAACCTTGAGCACAATCAGATTTACAATACTTACCAGTCTGGAATTGATGACAGAGTACAGATCTGGAGCTAAATGGACCACTCCATTTACAATGTAATAATCAGCTAATGGAGTTACTGTAAGCAAAATTTTGAAATCTTAGTTTAAATTTTCATATACATTGGCTTATATTACCGATACGAATTAATTGGTAGCTATTGTTCTGAACACAATTCAAACAATTAACGAATAAAAAATTCTATAATTCAGGTCTCTTTTTTTGTTGGAGCTTGGTCTTTTTTGGAAATAAAATTACATGTACCTTGGGTAGGAGAAAATCTGTGTTGTTTTCGTATCACATAAAGGATTGGTTCCTGTACATGCAGTAAAATGAACTCAATCCCTACCATGTTACTGTAAAATAAAACATCAAAGTGATTATTAACCTACAAGATATTTCTAATTATTCTGAATTAAACAATAGGCCCATGTGCCACAATGATCACCAGAGTCACTGCGGCCCTGCTGTTCCTCATCAGCAGATTTTTTTTCTTAATCTAATCCTTTCGTGACAAGTGATTGTCATGGAATGAAGTAGATTTCAGTTGCGATGTTTTTTTTTTTATCACAGTTCACTGTTACCGTCATTCTTTTGACTTCGACACCATTTTTTGTATTTAACAAATTCTAATATATAAACCAGGCCCGGGCCTGAACTGAAATCTGGAAAAATGGAACCCAAACTGAACCAAACAACTTGGACCGCAGTTTTCGGTTATTTTGGGTAACCATGACAGCCCTAGACTGCCTACTGTGGCCCCACCCTACCCACGGGGATCATGACTTGAACAAACTTGAATCTACACTACCTGAAAATGCTTCCATATTTCTATGAATAATCAGGGGTTTACTTTTCTTTCAAGAAAGTTTCTAAAAATTAATTCCTATATATTCCTAGGTAAAACTTTGATAGCCTAATGTTGCCCCATCCTTCCCCCATGGGTCTAGATTTGAACAAATATGAATCTTCACTTTGTAATGCAGCTTTCATATAAGCTACATCTTTTCTTGCCTAATGGTTCTATAGAAAATTTTTAAAAGATGCCATTAATTTTTCCCTAATTCTTAATTATCTCCCCTTGGCTCTTCAATTAAACCTTGAATACCCTTCACACTAAGATGCTTTGTGGCAAGTTTGTAAAAATTGACCCAGTGAAGAAGTTGAAAATTTGAAAAGTTTATGATGACACCAATGACAAAAGACAATTTTTTATCAGAAAATCTCACCTAAGCCTTTGGCTCAGTTAAGCTAAAAAAACATGGAAACAGAATGATTTATTGGGTTGTATGAATACTTGAGTTGGTCCTGACTGAGGCGTTGACTCTTTATGATCTGATTATTACATGTATGGTCGTAGAAAGGGTTGGTCCGTTCACAGAAATAGTCTAGCACATTGGAAGGGTTCAGAAGGGGGACCCAGGCACTGTCATACCAGGTCATCCCCAAAAGGGGGTTTTCTGGAATAAAAGTATTAACAACATAAATTAATATTGTTTAGATCTCGATCAATTTCATTACAAGGTTGATCAGCACTCAGCCAATATAATTGTTAAATTAATCAGCATTCAACATATTCAAGTATTAAATTAGCCTAACCTTTAAAGTATCATAATGGCAAACAATGTAAATTATAAGTATAAATTTAGTATGTTTATTTTCGATCACCATAAATTATCACACGCAGCATTTTTATATCAAATTGTTCACACAATACAAATCTTAGTGGGTTTTTTTTTCAAAAAAAATTAGCACATTGTTGAATGAAATCTGTCATTGGTGAAAACAGGGTTTTAAAAAATTTTGTATTTATCAATTGTTTTATTTATTTGATCTTGATGCCTTTTCAACTGGGAAAAAATAGCTACATTTGCTTGAAATTGGGAAAACATTTCATACAAGAAAAAGTACAAAAAAAAACAAGATGTGTTTGTGAAACACTGATACCCCCATATGGCAACTTATAGCAAAGGTTAAACTTTCTCAAGGTCAAACTCCAAGGTCAAGGTCATAGGGTCAAAGTTATTGGTACCAAAAGGAATGTCTTGTCACATGGATTACATATATGAAGTATTAAAGCCCTTGCATGAATCATTCAAAAGTTATGGCCAAGGTTAACATTTTCCAAAAGTAGGTCAAACTTCAAGGTCAAGGTCAAAGGGTCAAAGTAATTGGTATCAAAAGGAAGGTCTTGTCACAAAGATTACATATATTAGTGAAGTATGAAAGCCCTAGCACCAATCGTTCAAAAGTTATGGCCAATGTTAAAGTTTTTGCAAAACTGGGTCAACCTCCAAGGTTAAGGTCAAAGGGTCAAAGTTGTTTGTATTCAAAGGAAGGTCTTGTCACAAGGATTACATATGTGAAGTATGAAAGCTCTAGCACCAACTGTTCAAAAGTTAAGGCCAATGCTAAAGTATGGTAATCTTTTGCAAAACTTGGTCAAACTCCAAGGTCAAGGTCAAATATGGTGGTACCCAAAGAAAGGTATTTCACAAGGAATACACAAGTGAAATATGAAAGCCATAGCTCAAACCAATCAAAATTTATGGGCAATGTTAAAGCTTTTGGGTGAATTAAAAAAAAAAATGACCACCAAACTGAATTTTTTTGGCAAAATTCAACTACTTATAACATATTTTTCACTTATATCATCATATTGCATATGCATTCTAGTTTAAAATCCTGAAGTGGCAATAGAATAGACAATTGGATTAAAAAGTTTCAGAATTTTTATTAGTAAAATTTCTTTTGAAAAAAGAAAATATCATTACACCTTAAAAGACTTTCTAAAATACATAATCACAAGAAATTATAGTTTTTTATGCTTCAAAATGGTAAATGGGGTATAAATGATTAAATCTAGACCTTGAATGAGTATCTTTTTTATGCTTCAAAATGGTAAATGGGGTATAAATGATTAAATCTAGACCTTGAATGAGTATCTTCTCTTGTGCACGTGACAAAAAATTGGCTTTTTGATTGTTATTTTACATTTTTCAATTCTGCTTTGAAAAGTTTTAATATGAAAAAAATATGAAGCAATAAAATTCCCCCAAATTCACTTTTTTGTCTGTTCAAGTCAATTCTTTAAATCTAAGCAAAAAAAGAATTGTTATATATGAGTTCTCTACAAAAAATACTAGATTTTGAAGTGACCCTATGTTACATTATTGTGTTGCACTCCTGACATCTGATATGTATTTTATTTACATTGTTTTAAAAATTATGACACACAATAACCCATTCTTACTTTGTAAATCAATTTGTTGTGTTGATATTTTTCATCGTTTACAGCAGGTTTATCATATTTTGAAGACCTTAAAACATGGTTATTTGCAAAGTGTAATATATATAAATTGTATTTAAAATATATGTGAAATGATGAAAACTATTCCCTGAATTGACTGTAAAATTTCTGTAATTTGTTGATGGACATAGTGTTTTGAACATCAAATAGTATCAAGCATTTTTTTCAACTTATTTTTTAGTAAAGATAGTTAAAAAGCATCAGTAATTATGAAGCAGTTTTGTTGCACTCCTGACTGCAGTAAAGTTTAAAATTAAAACCATAGAACACAAAAATTCATAAAGTGTTGGCAACATCAAGTGGTAATGAAATTATGCAATACTTATAGTCCAAGACATCATAATTAAAACAGATGAAAGTATTTAAAATTCGCATTTTATCTGGAATTATACCCTATTTTATGCCAAAAAACTAGCTTAAATGTATTTTAAAGCATATTTTCCTTTAGAAGACAAACACAGTAACCCACCAGAAAAATTCTACTCTTCATTTTTTCTTTATTTTTATTTTTAATATATTCGATCAGTGCATATTATCTATTCAAGATATATTACTAAAGTCAGGTACTCTTCACACAATTGCTCCGAAGAAAATAGTTCCATTCATGATCAGTAGATAAAACATTACAACAAATATTAAGAATAATCATGTATATTTAATACGTTAAAGAAAACAAAATTATCGTTAAAAGATTTTAAGAAAATCACTTTTTCCCCAGAAAAGCAAATAAAAAGTTTTCATATTCCTACGCTCGCTGCCTCCTCAGTCTTTTTCACGAAAATATATAGGTCACACTTCGATTGATAATGATAAATCTTTTCACCAGTTATATTACTGTCATGATTATTGTTCGTTAATTGCCGTATATTTTCTTTTGAGTTAGAATGTTAATCATTAACTGTGTGTGTGTTTTTTCTCTCTTTTTTTAAATAACGGAATGGTTATTATGGCTAAACACAACGTGATTTTCCGAGCTCGGAAAGATCTTCGCACGTGTGTAGACCTAGGCTATTTGGTCTTGCAAGAACAGGTGTGCGCACCGTTCCCTAGTGACGCTTAGATCAGTAGACTGGGTATCAGTACTTGCTACGGACATAAAGAAGTTTAGAACTTAATACACCAGTTTCATAACAAGTGCAGGTTTTTTACTCAAGTCAAGGTGAAGCCCTAGACTGGGCAAGAGGGGCTGAGTTACGGTCATCGATCTAACACGAAAATGTACTATTTTTGTAAATAAAAAACATTTCTAGAAACAAAAATGAAGTTTATCTTCAAAACGTCTGTATAATCAAAATCAGTATATGGTGGAGGAATATTCAGTGATGCTCCATAGCCGCAACCGATCTCGCGCTTTCCTTTGCGTTTAACAACGGCCGTCAATGCATCACTGGACGAGTTCATTGATTACTCTAAAAGGTGACAGGTTGGACCATCTTTAACATCTGCCTATACTTTGAGTGATAGTACTTTTTAATAATAGCACAAAATTAAAAAATAAATTAAAATCTATCCTTGATAGATCTAAAGTTTTGCTATTTGTGAAAATGGGCTATCTTTGATAATCCCTAACGGCTTGGACTTGTTTTGAATTTTTTTTACAGAAGATTCTATCATTGGAAAGTTAGATGGTACACATGTAGCACAGGCCCATAGTACGCGGGATTTTTTGGGAGTCCCCCCCCCCCTTTCACTTTGAAAACGTTGCTATAGGCCTGTAACATGCTATTTGGATTAAATATTCCTGAAAATGAGTGAGGCGTTAAATACATTTTTAAAATTATACGATTAATTATATTTAGTTTATGTTCAATGTGAAATTAAAACTATTTTTATGCATGTGCAACTTTGTGATAAAGTCACTACATGCATGTAACGTTATATATGTACATGCAGTTTGTTTCCTACTATATGCATATTTTATTCAACAAAAGATGTTGAAACTCAGTAGCCTAAATATTATGTCATTTTAGGATATTTATGTATATGGCACTTTTATAGTTGACTTTCTACAGCTTGAGTATCTCTGACGTTTTGTCAGTAAATACTTGTTTTTTTATTAGAAATCATCTGAACACAATGAAAATTCGAATAAATTAAAAGTCGAATATCTTGGATATGGGGTAATCCATATCTATTCTTGTTATTGGATGATTTATAATTCTAACATATTTGTTGCACTCCTGACCAAAAGCATTGGGGCCTTTAAAGTAGAGTTGTGAAGTGAAAATTACATAAGAACTTGTTCTGTTGTTTCAGTGAAGTTGAGGAGGAATTACTTGAATTTTATGACAATGTTTTAGTGTGTTTATTTTTAACGTTCATTAAAAAAATCACAAAAAAGATAAAAACACATCTGAATTGATAAAATTGAAAAAGGAAGGATTTTAATAATAAAACTGTCAATAATTTAGCATTAAATTATACAAAAAGATCATTATTAATTAATGAATATTCTAAGCATGAATAGAAGTCTTTTCGTCACACAACTTGAATCTTTAAAAAAATGTGTTGCACTCCTGACCATAGAAATATGGATCCGAAGCACAGACAGATCCTGTAATTGATAAATCTGTTTGGTAAAAATGTTCTTTGTGTCTTTATTTTCCAAAATAAAAATCAGAAAATCATATAATGATGATAGTTTTTTCATGCTTGGGGGCAAAACATCAAATGTTGCACTCCTGACATTTTTGGGTATGCACATATACTTGACTCTCATTAATGCTGCTTGTGATTTATATAACATTTTTAAGTTTTAAAATGTATATCAGTTATTATTTTACACTTCCAAAATTCTTTTTTGTCTTGATTTTCTATCAGAATTTTACAATTAATGTTTTTTTGGCAACACTACATTTTTTCTGTTGCACTCCTGACATGGTATAACATTTTTTTAAACATCAGCCATGACCACAACTTGATTAAGCAAAAGTTTCAACAGTCCACATTTAAAGCTCAATACTTTGAATATTACCAGGAAAGTCTTTATTTTCAACATGAAGCATTATTTTTTATTTCACAGATCTCCAAAAAATATTGAAATTTCAAAATGTCACAAAAAGGTGTTGCACTCCTGACAATTTTAGCATCATTTTTGGGCAGAACTTTTTTGTTAATTGAGATATCAACGTGATATTTGGCAGGTATTTAGACACTATCTAAAGACATATGCTGAGACACAGAAATCTATTTTCATTGCCTGTATTTTTAGTGTAGGTTGATAAATATATGTTTGGTCATTTTTTTTTAATTCACCCTTTTGCGGACAAACAGACAGACGGACAGACAGGGCAAAACCTATATACCCCCGAATCTTCGATACGGGGGCATAAAAACCAGTGCAGTGAGGTACCAGTATAATTGAACTCCTTCTACTTTCAATTTGGTCAAGGCTTACCGGTTAATACTGCAATTAAATAAGCAGAGACCAAAAAAAAAGTTTATTTACCAATTTTTGGGTAAAAACTGGAATCTGTGGAACAATCTATGGCCAGTAAAGCTACCATTTTTTGATTTTTTCATTGTTTAGGAATTTAAATCAAAAATTGGGGAAAATACTTGCTTTTCAGCATGGGGAATGGAGTCTTATTTTGGACCCTACAGACCTTGAGAAAAACTTCTCGAGTTTTCAAGTACTTTCCTTAAACAATGTTAAAACTATTAAATGAAACAGTTATAATGAACTACACATGTATATGAGTAATCCTAGATTCCTTTGACTATGTTTTGATATGTTTAGAGAAGTCATAGAGTCACAGAGGATACCATATGCTGAAAAGTGAAAATTCAGCGACACCAGCTTGAGTTACGATTTTCCTTACTTATTGCATTATAATTTCAAGCGCCTACATGTAATCTTTGAGATTGAGTACAATTACACTTTTTCCCATGCAAATTTGCAGTTAAAGTTTGACCCCACTTAAAATTTTGTGTATTTATGTGCTAACATTATAGCCAAGAAATGGAATGGTAAAGAGTGGACATAATTCAATAATGTGCTTCATTTATCATTGATATAGGGCTGTTTCATATTACATTTATCAGGTCGAGGAATATACCTTATATGGATATTGTTGTCATTCAGCGGCTCTTACAGCAAACAATTGTCCAATCCAATGAATGAACTGAAAAGCATGATGGTCTACTACATGTTTCTATTTTACTACAAACACTTGGGTCAGGCAAATTTTCGGACGCGATTTCAAATGACTGCGGGAAAGTCAACTAATAATTATTTTTTATATTTTTGTGAAAAATACGAAGAATATGTACTAGTTAAGATTTCCCATGCTCACATTAACAAACAAAGCCAATTTTCCGTGTTAAATAGTACGTTGAAATACTGCTCACAAAGTCTTCACAAGTAAATAAGAATCCAGTTTTTATAACTTGATATTCGTAAATTTGCCATGCTACTGGTGTTATTCGTTGTTACTTTATTATTTATTTACTAGAAATTAAAAGTTAATACATTTATAAAAAACCGTAAGTTTATTGCTGCACGGCATTTATTTTACACAGTAATTCTCATACATTACACACTGATTCTCATGTACAATAACATTGATCATTGAACGTGTATTAATAGCATATATATCGTAGTAAACAATGACACTATGTGAGTACCTCAGAGTCGACTGTTTTGGACCAGGGAATAGTCACGTGAAATTCATATTCACTGATAGTACAGCACAGGAAAAGCTGCCAGGCAATTGTCAACAAACGGATACAATGGAGTGTAGAAAACCCAAATTTTACAGTTGTAAAACATTTGTATGTAAATGTGAGCATGGAATTCGTAGATAATGATGTACATATTGTATTAAGTGTGTAAAATGTTTATATAAATGCAACATGTCTTTCTGAGAGCGATTTGAAAAACTGGCCTTTTCGAAACGTACATGTAGTATTTTGGTAGTAACCTATAATGCAACTCATTTAGCCGATTGGTCGGTTTGTCAGTCACGTTGGTGCCTCATTTAGCATGTAAATTTATTCTGACATTACAGAAAATAGTTTTCTCGACCTGTTTATTGATTGCTGATCCATTCTCACATCTCTGAAGTACAAAAGGAAGTTGTCATAGGTCGGGAAAGTTGCAATACCAGCTTGTATCTTTTCAGTATGGCATCCATTCTGACTCTCCCCTATTCTCTATTGAGAAGTTGATAGCTCGTTTTATTACTCCCTCCTCAAGTTGAGGGGGAGTATTAAAACGATCGAGCCATCAACTTCTCAATAGAGAATAACTCTCCCCTACATGCTTAAAGGTTTTGAGTCAGCGGAATCTCGGATTAGGAAGAGTTCATCTATTACTAATAATAATAATTAGGTTTTTCTAAATATCCTAAGGGCATACTACCGTCAAAGAGAAAATATTTTTTCAAACAAAATTTTATCATAATCTACTGTAACTGATCATGCTGATTGATAATCCTAGATTCCTCTGACTCTAATCCCCGCTTTTACGTTATGATATGTGCGGGGTGTGTGATGTGAAGTGCTATCCCCCGCACATGTCAAAACAGAAATGCAGGGGTTAGAGTCAGAGGAATATCGGATTAGTTGATTGACAAAACTATTTTAAACCCTAAGTTGTGAGACAGTCCTCGGGGAATAATTTATGCTTCAGCAATCTAACTATCATATTTTTGCTCAATTGACAGAACACATATTGCTGAATACATTCTGTATAAAAGACACAGTTTACCTAGACTCATCTTGAAAACTTTTCACGCTCACAGTTTGGAGTTTACGTCCGCCATTTTGAAATCACGTGACACAAATATTTTAAAAAAAAGATTGTGGAAAAAATATGTTTTTCTGAAATTCATTGAATTTGAGAAATGATTCTGTTGGAAAATAATGTCTGATCGAAACAGTGTTTGGAGGTCTTGCTCAGAAATAACTTGTTGCTTTACGATCGGGCTCAATGTTGTACTGACGCGCGGGCGCGCCAGCTCGCTAACTGTCGGACTGGTATTCATAGACCCTAATATGTTATGACTAACAAATTAACGAAAGGCTGAGTGAGATTGAGAAAAGACGCAACCCTTCATCTATTCATTGATAAATGATTTAAATAACTTGTGTGAGTTTGATTAGAGATGGCATCAAAGAAACGAAGAGCATCACGAGCAGGATTGAGAAAACTGCCATTGTCCTTGATGTGTGAATGGGCATCATGTAAAGAAACATTTCTAGATATGGAACAATTTACCAACCACCTGAAGGCTCACCTCACAGGTGTAACAAGCAATGGTATCATGGAAGAAGCTACTGAATACAGATGCCTGTGGAGGGACTGTGAAATGACGATTACTGGCCATGTGACAGATTTTGTTAGACATGTGTATTTCCATTCCTTCCATGTCAAAATTAAATGTCTAGGATCTCAGATGGTACGGAGCTTAAAGCTACAGGGATGTCAGCTGGATGAACAAAGTCGCAATTTAATTCCAGAATTACCAGAAAGATTGCAGTGTGGTTGGAAGGAGTGCGAGACAATCATGGACATCCCAGAAGCCTTCTATCGACATGTGGACAGTCATGCTCTATCTTTTCCCGAGGGAAATAATGTACCTGGAGGCTGCAAGTGTTCATGGGAAGGCTGTGATGCTGTGTCAAAAAGTAAATATAAATTACGTGAGCATCTTAGGAGTCACACACAGGAGAAAATTGTAGCCTGTCCAATTTGTGGAGGTCTCTTTTCTAGCAGAACAAAGTTTCTAGACCACCTGAAACGCCAAGAAGAAACAGACCACCAGTGTTACCAATGTTCACACTGTGACAAACGCTACACCACTGAGAGACTTTTAAGGGATCATGTGCGCCATCATGTGAACCAATACAAGTGTCCGTGCTGTGACATGACATGTCCTACACCATCCAGTTTGAAAACACATTTACGCTACAGACACACTACTCAGACTCCATACAAATGTGACCACTGTGGACATGGAGCCAAGTCACTTGCTGACTTGAAAAAGCATTTAGAAAGTCACAGTGTGGATGTTCCATATCATTGCCATATTCCAGATTGTTCATACACTTCAAGAACATTCCAGAGCTTGGAAAATCATTTCAAACGTCTTCATCAAGATATTGATGTCCAGAAATACAAATGCCATGTTTGCTCTACTCTTTTTACTCGTGGAACCAATCTTACTTCCCATTTAAAGAAAAAGCACAAGTTCAGGTGGCCGTCTGGACATTCACGCTTCAGATACAAAATGCAGGAAGATGGATATTTGCAGTTACAGACTGTGCGATATGAAAGCATTAAACTGACTGAGCAGATGGAGAATGGCGAATCAGAGTCAACTTCTGAAGTTGATAAAGGTCAGCTTTCTTCCACAGAGACTGAAGAAGTCAACAGCAGAAATAAGAAGAGAAGAAGAACCTTAAAAAAGGAGAAAGAAAATACTGCTTCTTCATCTAAACCTCATGATGTATTACATCAAGATTACAATGTCTGCAGGTCAGACCAAAGTGATGGAATTCCAGTTTCAACACAAATTACTAATCTCCGCTGCAACAGTGATGAAGTCAACGAGCAAACTACATCACATGTGGCTCAAGTTGAAACAAGATATCAGTATGTTTCATTTGTAGAACTTCCCCCAAACTATTTAGATTTAAATCCTTACTTGAAAGAAGTCCCTCATCATGTGCCCCAAAGTGAAGTAATACAACCTGTTACTGTAGGAAGCAGTAGTTTGGATGTAACAAGAGAACTGTACAGTGACAATGTTTGTCCGATTTCAGAGAGAGAGCCTGCATCAGAGCAGGAACATGCATCACAACAACCAGTGTCAGATGAGGATAGAGGTGAAAACTACAATTTGGAAATGCTTGGAGATGTTGCATTGAGAGCACCCCCAGAGAAGGAAATATCAAGTCCAGGAAAAACAAGAAAAAGGAAACAAACCCTGACAAATAAATGCAGGAATGCCTAATGACAAGATCCAACAAACATCAAAAGTTTAAAAAGAGCAATGATCTCCAATCTGAAAACAATTCAAACTATGAAAGATGAAAATGTGTATTTTAATTTAATACAGTATCTAAAATATACTGGTTGTGTACATCTTCCTCAAAACTTAGAAATGGGGAAAAACTGACATGTACAAACCGTGAACTCTCACAATTAATATCAGTTAACTTTGCTTAAGCAATAATCTTGGCCCAAGGAAAAAAAATGTTATTTACCATTTCCCAATCGACCTTAATTTTTTGTGCAGGCCCAAATATTTTTTCATTCAATGTGGCCTGTAGCCGGTTCTTGGGGAAAATTTTCAGTCACGGTCTTTATCTTGCACATGAGTTGAATTAAGAAAAGGCAAAAGCAAATCATTTATACACCTCCCAGCAAAAATTGACATTTCTGCAGGAGAGGGACTCATTTTCTTATTGATGAATGTTAAATACAATGTAACTATGGGGTTGAGTTTCTTGTAGTATGGGTGTGTATTTTGGTTTTAAAAATTGCAGAAAGAATTAGTTTGAAAATGTTCTAAATGTTTTTTTATTTACTTTATTGGTATGTAATGGCTTCCAATTTTTTTTATAAATCCAATCAAATGAATTTTCAAGTGAGCACTGTGGCCCAGTTCTTTAGGATGAGTCATTACACAGCAAATGTGTTTCAAAACAAATTTCTAAAGTCTAATTTGAAAAGAATTTTATTGAAATCTTATTATACCCCCGCTCCGAAGGAGAGGGGGGTATACTGTTTTACCCTTGTGTGTCTGTCTGTCTGTGTGTCCGTGTGTCTGTCCGTAACAAATTTTGGTCGCAGTTCTGTCAGCAACTACTGATCACAGATGCTTGAAGTTTTAGCACATTCTTTGTTTAGGCATGCCATATGGTGGGATTCATTTTTGTTTAAATCTGACGTCAACTTCCTGTTTATCCGTGCATCTGTCTGTACCAAATTTCTGTCGCAGTTTTCTCAGCAACTACTGAGCAAGATGCTTGAAATTTTAGCACAATCTTTGTTAAGGCATGCCAGATGGTGGGATTCATTTTTGTATGAATTTGATGTCAACATGAGAGGGTAACCGTATATTCACATCAGAGCGGGGGTATTACTAGTGAGCATTAGCTCACAGACTTCTTGTTAACGCAGTTTTCACCTCTGATGCACTTGTTTATATAAATAATAGAATATGACATGCTGTTTTACATTGATGCTTTAAAGACCATGTTTACTTCTCATTATATTTCACATGGTGATATGGTGTGTTGACCTACATTCAATAAATGTGACATCTTATTTTTGTATTTTTGCTTGAATGAAGAATATGCATTGATGTACACTGTACAGTACATATTTTTGGGTTGTATAATTTATGAACATCACCTACAAAGTCCAGGAAGGATTACCAAGTTTGATCTGATATTCAGTATTTAATGATCTTGAAGGATGAACAGGGAAGCTTCCCTATAAGTTGGCTTCTCTGGCCCAGTGGTTCTTGAGAAGATTTTTCCTATATATTTCAATGTAAGACTTTGATTCCTTATAGTGGGCCCACCCTACCCCAAGGGGCAATGATTTGAACAATTTAGAATCTACCCTATCTCAGGAAGCTTCCACATAACATTCAGTTTTCTGGCCCAGTGGTTCTTGAGAAGATTTTTTAGTGACCCCACCCTATTTTTATTTTTGTCTTCTTAGATATCACCACTTGATATGGGGCTTGGCCCTACAATATGACAATTATTTAGACTTGCCTTTACACAAAGATGCTTTTTACCAACTTCGGTCAAAATTGGCCCAGTGGTTCTTGAGAAGAAGTAGAAAATGTGAAAAGTTTACAGACTGACAGATGACAGGTGATCAGGAAAGTTCACTTGAGCTTTCAGCTCAGGTGAGCTAATTATATCTATACAAGTTGTGTTTTCTATCCCAAAGCCTTAGGCAAGGAGAATAAATGCATACAGCAAGCATCGGAAAGTGTTGGTCAGGCTGGGATTCAAACCTGAGACCTCCTGCTACATGTAACTGTATGGGTGCTTTACTAAATTCCCTTTACATTCTTTGTTCATTTTAGCTCTTCTGAGCCAAAGGCTCAAAGAGCTTATGCTATGGCCATTTGAGCGGTGTGCGTAAACTTTTTGGAAAATGGGCTAGTCAATTTTTTTTCAAATTTGTCACAGAGTATCCTTGGCCCAAGGGCTTTCATTTGTACAAAAACTGGAGATGTATTCCTTAAACAAGGGGAGATAATTAGGGAAATAAAAACAAAAGTAGTGGTTGCTAAAAAATCTTCTCAAGAATTAACCACTGGGCAGGTTATCACCAATCTTATATACAAGGATGAGGATATGTTGTAGATTAAAATTTGCACAGGGAATCGCCCTGGAGCAAAGGGCGTGGTCTCAAGGTCACTTCAAAGTTTACCAAAATTTATGTTTTGTTTAATCTTTTATATTTTGACCACTATAAGGCATCTTGACAGTTGATGCATCTTCGGACCTCATATCATGTTGACTTAAAAGTAGGTCATGGTGACCTACATTTGAATTTTGCAGGTATTCATTTTCATTTTAATTTTGATGTATAACTTGGATACCTTGAAGCCTATGATCATCAAAACTTGTCAGTTTATGCATCATGGGACTTTGAAGTGTGTCAACCAAAAAGTAGGTCACCATGACCTACTTTCTGAATTTTATGGCTTATCATTTTCTAAACATTAAAGGTCATTATTTCAGATACTAAGAGGTTTAGAATCATCAAACCTTGTAACACCTAGGGCCTTAAAACAGATTTATCAAAAAGTAGGTCACAGTGACCTACTTTTGGAATTTTACAAGTATTCATTTTTAAATTGTTTTAGGGGTATATTTTGGACACTTTAAAGCATAGGATCATCAAACTTTATCAGTTGATGCATTTTGAGTCCTCGGAGTGTATTGACCAAAAAGTAGGTCACTGACTCACTGTGACCTCTTTTTGCAATTTCATGGCTTAATTTAAATATTTTCAGATACTAATTGGTTAGGAATTATCAAACTTTGTCAATTGATGCATCTTGGGTACACAGAGTGTATCAACCAAAAAGTAGGTCACTGTGACCTACTTTTGGAATTGGATGGCTATTTCAGTTACTAATTGGTTTTGAATCATCAAACTTTGTCAGTTGATGCATCTTGGGTCCTTAAAGTGTGTCAACCAAAAAGTAGGTCATCATGACCTACTTTTGGAATTTGATGGCTTTTTTCAGTTACTAATTGGCTTAGAATCATCAAACTTTGTCAGTTGATGCATCTTGAATCCTCGGAGTGTGTCAACCAACAAGTAGGTCACCCTGACCTACTTTAGGAATTTGATGGCTATTTCAGATAGTAATTGGCTTAGAATCATCAAACTATGTCAGTTGATGCATCTTGAGTCCACAAAGTGTATCAACCAAAAAGTAGGTCACCGTTACCTACTTTTGGAATTTGATGGCTTTTTCAGTTACTAATTGGCTTAGAATCATCAAACTTTGTCAGTCAATGCATTTTTGGTTTTTCAAAGTGTGTCAACCAAAAAGTACATCACCATGATCTACTTTTGGAATTTAATGGCTTTTTGGGTTAATAATTGGCTTAGAATCATCTAACTTTGTCAGTTGATGCATCTTGAGTCTTTGGAGTGTATCAACCAAAAAGTAGGTCACTGTTACCTACTTTGCAATTTAATGACTTAATTTAAATATTTCAGGTACTTATTGGCTTGGAATTATTAAACTTTGTCAGTTGATGCATCTTGGGTACCCGGAGTGTGTCAACCAAAAAATAGGTAACCCTGACCTATTTTAGGAATTTGATGGCTATTCAGATACTTATTGGCTTAGAATCATCAAACTTTGTCAGTTGATGCATCTTGAATCCTCGGAGTGTATCAACCAAAAAGTAGGTCACTGTGACCTATTTTTGCAACTTCATGGCTAAATTCAAATATTTCAGATATTAATTGGCTTGGAATTATCAAACTTTGTCAATTTTTGCCATGCTGACCTATTAATAAAAGGTAAAATTACAGTCACTTACTAGTATGTGGTAATAAAGTTTTCTGATTTGCTGATTCTCTTTTGAGTTATCAGTGGCTTCAACCTTGGCCCCCCTATCAGACCCTGTACTAGACTAGCTGGGGACCTCAAAGGTACCCAGACCCCTCGCAATCTAAAAATGACCGCCTATAGTGCCAAATCCTAGATCCATGCCTGATCTTGGCCATGCTTTTCTTGAGATTTTTCCCCTATATATTATGTAAAACTTTGACATAACATGAGTTACATCATACTATATATTAATATAATGACCAATTACTTACAGTCCTGCTTCTCTTTAAAATATTTTTCCTATGCATACATATGTGATTTCCATGTTTAACTTTGATCCCCTATTATAAACCCATCCCAGCTATCCCTAGTGGGCCATGATGTGAACAATTTTTATCTCCCCTTGTTAGGGGGCCCTTTATTTAATGTAAAATCTTGAATCCCCTTCACCCAATAATACTGCATACCAAGTTAATTGAAATTGGCCCATAATTCTACTGAGGGATAGACAGGCAGACAAACACAAAACAACAGAAGGTCAGAAAAACTCGTTTACAGCTCAGGTGAGCTAAAAATTTCCATGCATTTATAAAATGTGTTTTGATAAACTTAGTAATACATTTTTAAATATTTAATCTGAAACTGATCAATAAGCAATTAACATTAAGTATACATAAACAACACTGTACATTCCATTTTCAATATTTTATTGACACATGATTTTTTTTTTTCCTAGTGTTGAAATAAAAGTTTGCCATGATTACAAGGTACATATACAGTATTTTACATTATATGATTAAACATATATATATATATATATATATATATATATATATATATATATATATATATATATATATATATATATAAAGACTATTTTATCCATGTTCATCATTTTTAAGTGCCGACATACATGTATAATTTGATTGAGTAGGATGAAAATTTGTCTTTCAAGGAAGAATCTAAACAAATAAAAAAGCCTACCAAGGGCTGTATTTGGTATTTGGCCCTTTTATAAAACATAATTATTAAAAAATCAAAATTTCTCAAATTTAGATCCTTGTATCAGTAGACCCATGATGACTACATATCTATTAGAAATGATGTACTAATAATATTTTTGTCTCAGTATTGTGATATATATTATTTCTACACTCAAAAGTTCAATGCTTTCAATCCATTAAAAGTGAACTGGTTGTGTCCCTTTGTTGGGTCAACAGCTCTAGCTCTTTAAAACCTCACAAATGTGTAGCAGGTATTTTTCTTTACAAAAATAAATAATAATTAATAATACTGCCCTTGGCATTAAATTTAAATTAATATGAAATCCAATTGAAAATAATAAATATTTCCAAACTATATACTAGTATATTCTTAGAAATGGTAACAAAAAATTCAAACATCGAACACATTAAAAGATTCAAAACAAGAGAAAATCCTCAATATGCTGAAAATTATACAAGTATCCCAACATATTGTGAATTAATCATGTTAATAGATAATAATTATTGAAAAAAAAACTAAGTAAACAAGCATGCCAAATCATTTTTAAAAAGTGATCAAGTTAAATCATAGATGTATCTAACCACAAATAAAATTGCTGATAAATTGTTTTTATGTCCAAACATCCTCCAAGTACCTTTTCTCCAGCCTCAGTTTGGTCACATAGGATCTGGCTTCACTTTCACTCAAGCCTTTGTTTTCTTGCAAAATTGTCATAAAAGTTTGATTCACATCTTTGGCCATATTCTTGGCATCACCACAAACATAAATCACTGCACTTTTGTTCTCTATCAAATCAAGCACTTGTTCAGCATTCTTGAGAATGTTATCCTGCACATACTTAGGCCCCTCTGTAGACTGATTTTCTCTGGAAAATGAGACAAATAATTTTGTCAAAACATGGACCTCTTGTAGTCTCTTAAGCTCTTCCCTGAATAAGAAGTCCTGAGACTGGTTCCTGCAACCAAAGAAAAGGAATATTTCTCCAAACACTTGGTCCTCAAATTCAGAATGGCTTTTCTGTATTTCTCTGTGTTGTAGGAATCCAACAAATGGAGCTACCCCTGTACCTGGCCCAATCAAAATAAGGGACACAGATACATCAACAGGCAAGTGGAAAAACTGATTTGATCTTGCTGAAATTTGCAACTGTAAGATTTTTCCATTAATTCCTTCTGATTCCTCGTAGTCTTTGTTTTGAATATCTGATGTCCTTTTATCTAACATACCAGTGCATATTCCTTGCCTTGCAAAGCTCCTACCATCCCCCTCTGGAATATTGACCACATTGAAGACTATATCTAAGTGTCCTGGTGTTTTTAGTGGTGAGCTGCAGGCCGAGTATGGTCGTGGCTGTAGCTTTGGAAGTGACTCTATTAACCTTTCCACAGAAGGCTGACTGGAAGGAAATGCTTGAAGGAGATCAAGTATACTTATCTCAGGGTTTCTTATAAATTTGGTGTAATCAGCCATACCCTGTTTACTACACAACTCTTGAAGTCTTCGTTTCTCTTTAGGGTTTGCTGTCTCTTCTACAAGCTGTCTTATCACAGATTTTTTGGGAGGTTCCCTTATATCTATATGGTAAGTGAATAAGTTCCTGAGTGTAGAGACTGCAGGGAGATGGAGTGGGATCATTGCTTTGGCCTTTTTGGTGTCTTTCAGAAGCTCAATCTGACAAATGCAATCAGCTTTGTCTTGAACATTCAGTCTCTTTAACAGCATTTCCACCTCTTTATCTTCATTCTGGCAATAAATGGACACAGAATCCCCTGGTTGGTACGAAAATTTGTTCTCAAGTTTCAGTCCCAATTTCATGGTTTTCTTTAGTGCATCCTGTGAAGTTAAAATATCTGCACTGATTATTGTGGCATTGGAAATATTTGATGCAGCAGAAGTATTCAGTGGAAAAGGAGACCGGTCTACACTTTCTATTAGATTATACTTTATGATGAGATATGCAGGTGAAAGCAGTGGAACTGTTACAGCACTATCACAGAGCAGTTGCACTGATTTCCTGAGAGATGGTGCGTCTTCTAGTAACATATCTTCAAGCTTTCTGTCCAAGGATTCTGTTCCATTATTACTTACTGATTTTCCATCAAATTCTGAGGTCAAGCCATTATGTCCATTAGAATCAACACCGTTGTTTGAAGGATCTCCACTGTTTGTTGAATGACCATTTGTTGTAACAACACTAACATTAGTCACTTCAGTTTCCCCACTTTGAACCACACATTCTGTATTTTCCACAAATTTAACCGTACATTGATTACTATCACAGCTTGTTTTATTGCTGCAGGGACCAGACTTGTTTGGTGAATCAAGGGATAAAAACTGTTTGAGTGCTGGAAAAAGTCCCTCAATCCATGGCTCCACTGCTTGTTCTAACCCAACTGCATCATCAGCCCAGCCTGAGGGATAGAACCGCTTAGCCCCCAGTTCCTCTAATCTTCTATCCAGGGTCTTTCCAGCATTGCAAAAATTAGTATAGTTAGAATCACCCAACCCCAGCAGAGCATAATTGAGATGTGATAAGTAATCACTTGGTAGTGTTTTCTTTTTCAACCTTCTGAAAAATTTCAAAGCTGTGTCGGGTGGTTCTCCATCACCAGTTGTGGAAGTGACAATCACAACACACGTCTCTTTTTCCAAGGTGAATTTCTTCTCCACCTGACTAAGGCAATGTCTTTCAAATTCCAGGCCATGTGCAACAGAGTTTTCTTGGATCTCCTCTGTGATGGCCTCAGCCTGTCCAGTCTGGGAACCATACAGAAGCAAGCAGTGGTTTTTCTTCTCAGGCATTATCTACCAAACATACAAAATCATCAGAACTTCATTATACAAGTGTTACTTTTTATAAACAGTCTTTAGTGGCTACCGGTATTTGCTAGAATGACACAAAAAATAAATCTAAAAATTTAGAATGTACATGTTGATCTAAAACAATCCAAACTAGATTTGTACATTTTTTTTTTATTGACAGTGCTGGTTTCTCACAGTTGCTTGTTTCAGTCTGATGATGTTCATTACCATTATGTTATTTCTAATTATACTTTGAGGGGTCTGTTTCCATTTCCATCCAAGGATATACGGTTAAATTTAAAGAAGCAAATGTGCATATTTAACTGAATTTGTCAGTGCATTTTTTTTGGGGGGTGGGGGTGGGGGGGGGGGTGTGTGTGTAAAAATTACCTTTAACACCTTATGTATAGGCCTAGTATTTAATAAGACTGTATGTAGAAAAACCCACCAAAATGTATTGATTAAAGCACAAGTTTTTTTAACAGCTTAAGTAAAATGTGAAAACTTGGAATGAACCACTTTTACTTATATATATATTATATAAAAATTATAAATAAATAAATAAAATTGTTTAACATTATGCCTAAATTGTTGTTATTAATATGTTTTAAATATTTTCATTTTCATATTGATCAGATATTTATTTTAGGATTTATTAAAAATAGGTTTACAAGGAGTGCTTACGTGATCGAATGGGAGTATTTAGGTATAATGGCAACTTGTAACGATTTTCCGGAAACTATTAAAAAACTAAGAAAAGTTTATAATAAATTTTATTTTGAATGTACTACAGATGTAAATTATGGCACAATGACAATTTTTTCAATACTTCAAATTTATTGCTATACCCATCAATGCTCTGAGCAGCATATTGGCACCATCATGTGACATATACCTAGACTAAGGGTTTCAAGTGGAGAGTTTGTGGTCGAAATATCTTGTTTTAAAATAAGATTATCATGTTGAAAGCAACACAGTAAGGTACACTTTGTACGACTTTATATAAACCAAATATGGAATATTGTGCCCAAATTCATACCGGTATATACTAATAAGCAAGCGGTAAATCTAGTCCTCCCGACTCTCTCAGTTTTCTATTAATATTGCTCATTCCGTTGTACAGAATCACTTCATACTTGTCAGGCACATTTTCTGCTTTGAAATAAATTCACGCATACATAAATATGATAACAATGTTAAGTATATTATGCCAAATTAAGGTCTTTTCATTGCCAAATCCCGAATGTTCCAATTGCAATTTTTAATTAATGTTCTTCATTTCACTAAAAAGAATAGCTTCAAACTTCTTGGGCATATCTGCTACATTAAAGTTAGTTCCCACATACATAAATATATCGACAATATTATGTATGATAATGACATCTGTCCAAAAACGGTGAAATCTAGTACCAAGTTATAAATGTAGAAACCAAACAAGAGGCCCATGGGCCACATCGCTCACCTGAGCATATTGGCTAGGAAAAAAAAGCAAAAATCAGTTCAGTATTGAACAGTTAACTGGGGGGGGGGGGGGGGGGGGGGTTGAATTTTAAAAGCATATTTTCATTTGTAAAAATTTGATCCTCCATTGTGGCCCCCACCCTACCCCCGTGGGCCCTCATTTGAACAAATTTCATTCTACACTACCCAAGGATGCCTCCATATCAATAATCAATTTGACTAATCATAGCTTTTCTGTTCTTGAGAAAAAGATTTTTTCCTATATATTCCTCTGTAAACTTTAATCACCCATTGTGACCCCACCGTACCCCTGGGGGTCATGATTTGAACAAACTTGAATCTACACTACCTGAGTATGCTTCCATATAAATATGTCCAATCATGGCTTTCCTGTTCATAAGAAGAAGATTTTTAAAGATATATTCTCCTATATATTTCTATGTAAAACTTTGATCCCCCATCGTGGCCCCACCCTACCCCCGGGGGTCATGATTTGAACAAACTTGAATCTACACTACCTGAGGATGTTTCCACATAAGTTTCATCTTTCCTGGCCCAGTGGTTCTTGAGAAGAAGATTTTTAAATGATGCCATTATTTTTTCACTAATTCCTAATTATCTCCCCTTGAAAGAGGGCGTGGCCCTTCATTTGAACAAACTTGAATCCCCTTCACCCAAGGATACTTTGTGGCAAGTTTGGTTGAATTTGGCCCAGTGGTTCTTGAGAAGAAGTCAAAAATGTGAAAAGTTTACAGACGGACAGACAGACAGACGCCGGACAAAATGTGATCAGAAAAGCTCACTTGAGCCTTCGGCTCAGGTGAGCTAAAAAAGGGATACCTATTTACGGTATCTAACTGCTCAATTTAGTTCATATATGCCACCATTCATAACATTTTTGAAATTTTAGTGTTTCTGTGAATTAAGTTCAACAAAATTAATGTGCCTGAAAAGTTTGAACCAAATCTGTTTTGCGATAAGGAGTATAAACAAAAAATATTAATCTGAGAGAGTCAGGTGTTGGGAGGACTAGATTTACCACTTGCCTGTCATATAAGCAATAATTTTTTTAAAAATTTTTACAAACAGAATCTGTTGCCAGGGTGCGTCGACGTGCAAAGTACAACTAACCTCCTTATTGAGGATGTTAAAACATTTTAATTAACTTATTTGTCTATAATTTCTTTCTTACTAGTTCCACGATTTCGTCATGGATTAAAACATATTCTGAAACAAAACATCGACAAACACTTTTAATCAAGCCCAGGGAATTCTTCATTTTTTATCCAGAGTTGTCTTCCGCTACACTTCCAACACCCCTGTAAACGCTCGTTGTACAAGATATTCTTGTACAAATTCTAAACAGTGAAAATATGATATTAAGATAGTAATTACTTATCGTAATTATCGATAAAAATGATAATTTATCATTTATTTTAAATCTATCATCCCTTTAAAACGATTTATTTTCTCAGTTTTTAGGGAACTATTTTGCAGAGAAAAAATAAAAACTTAATTAAAAATCCATTTAAGGTTAATAAATTCAAATAAATCCTGTTATTCCGCAGAAATATAATTAAAAACGATTAATTATACAACTTTTAATCATTTACAAATTTTCCAACAATCCTTGTATTTATGTGTGTATCAGGAACGACAACTCTGGATAGAGAATGGAGATTCTTAGTGAGTAAACGTGAATGGATGTGATTAAATTAATCGTCATTACAAATTTTGAGCTCTTGGAATGTGTAGATTTTATCATTAAATAAAGAAATTATTGACCATACGGCATACCCTCTTTTTGCCACGGTTGCTGGTTAGTCAGGCCAGTGCCAATGGTTGTGGGTTACACAACACAGGATCTAGTTAAAATGTGACTAAAAGTCAACTACAAAACCCAAATGATCCCGGAAATTAATTTTTGATCAATACTAAACACTTATTTTGTCGGCAGAATTTTTCAGAATTTAGTAACGACAAATTTGGAATTACCAACTTAAAAATATTACGAAAATTTTATATTTAAAATTGTTTTTGATTAATGATCATCAGTAAAAACGATTTATTTTTAAGGAAGCTCTTAACACTGACAAAAAATGTTTTTTTGGACTTTGAGAAAATTTTATCACATAAAGGAGTACATACTGAATTTTTCTAGTTAATTTTCAACATAGGGTGCCTGCCATATTTCTCAAAAAAAAAAAAAAATAATAATAATAATAATAATTCAAGACAATGAAGTATTAGTGAACAAGAATCGCTGTTGTTTACTTACATTGGGAATGTACATGCGAACAATGTTTTTAATTACTTTATTTGGTCTAATAAATTGTAAAGAATACTATAATCTATTCTAAATTGTGTCATTGATTGTAGAGTTTCATTTATTTTATTTTACATCAAAGGGCAGATCACTCTAACTGCATAAAACTACCATGGAATTTGAACTCTTTACTGAGCAGTGTTTAGAGCTTCCTTAATTAAAGCTATCATCCATCCAAGGATTTATTTTTCAAAGTTTTTAATTTTTACCCCGCAAAATAGTCAGGCTCATAGGAAGCAATTTCAATTCGGGTCGGGGGAGGGCACAGCCATACCATTTTCAGTTGACAAAAAAAAATGTCATCAGACGATTTTATTGAGGGGGTACAAGCATATTTTACATGTAGCTATATTTTCTATAGTATTCTATATATATATCGGCAAAATTATTATATGGGGGCATCCCCCCCCCCCCGCCCCAATTCCTACGGCCATGATATAATAAATTATCATCTTCATCCATAATCATAATAAATAAAGACCACCAGTTGGCGGATTTAAGGTGGGGGGGGGGGGGGGCTAGGGGCCCACCTTTTGTGTCCAAAAATAGACATACGATTAAATAAATCAATTTTTTGGTGTGATCCCAGGGCCCCCACCCCGACCCCAAACCGGTCGGCCCTCCCCTTTCAAAGAATCCTGGACCCGCCACTGATGCATATTTGAACTGCAAATTTTCACCGTTGAAAAATTGTACAAGAAATTGACAGAGGTAATTGTAGCGGGAACGGCAACTCTGGATAGAGAATTAAGTAAGTTAATTATTCATTTCCATTTTTGGAACCATTAAGGGCATATGAGAACAACATCAAACATAAACTAGAAACTCTGCTATTGCAAGCAATAGCTTATGTCACCCCGAACCAAACCATAAGCTTTAAGATTGTTCAATGCTTAAAGAAATGGGTATTCGTAGAAAAAGCCCCCCCCCCCCCCCAACACACACACACACACACCTTTACACACAAACAAAACAAGTTACGGTTTCTAGGTTTGGTCGACCAAAGTTAAGGGAAGTGAAAGTAGAGCTTGCGAAGTCGTTCAACACACTGCTCAACGCGTTATCGGCTACTAGTATTCGGTTGTTATCGGGCATTCGGTGCAAGGAAGGCAAAGTTTAGAAAACATAGGTGATTTTAAATTTCTTAATTCAACGATAATTGCTTACTAATTCAGCAAACAAAGTTTGTGATCTTAGGCAGATAAATGATTATACTTTCAGCAGCAAAAAGAACAAACCAAATCACTCTCTTTCTAAAGATATACAGCTTTTTCAAATGATATTTTATTAAAATTTCGGAATATTTCATCACATTTTAGCTTTTGTAGAAGTCAAAATCAGATTATTCTATAAAACAAAACGGTTTATTTATTCTATGGACAATCATATACCTGAAGATAGCAGACTGAGATTGAAAATCCAAATGAAGGGTTAGTTAACAGGCATCTAAAATGTCTTGTTCACTTCAAAACATGGCTGAAGCAAAATAATTCCTGAATTTTCCTCTTCAATTCGGACATTTCTGCACTGGACAGGGGCTGATTTTTTTATGAGATGACAAACTATGTGTAAACTTTCTTAGTTTAGCAGAATCATGAACATTTCCGGCGTGCTGATTGTTTTGTCTATAGTAGTGATGAGGGGCCGACTTCATTTGCCACAGATCGGCGTACGCCGAGTTGCGCTGGTCATATGATCGGTGTAAAACGGCTACCTGGCAAATGAAGTAAACCGGCGAAAACAAAAAATAATTATACTATATAACAATCAATTAATTAAGATCTATCACTTTTTACGTTATGTCTTAGCGAAAAAAAGGTTTGATAATTAGAAATTCAATGATTAAAAAAATCATGGACCTCATGAAAAAAATTATTTTTAGAAAATAAGAACGGATTTTAAATATGTGAATGGAGATTTGTTCAAGAAATGCAAACAATTAAAGAATATGCCGAATTGGTAAAAAGTGTCTGCATTTTATAAGTTGTTTTATCTTCCCGCCATATTTCTAAGACCGGCGAATTCCTCGCCGGTCATTTCAGACCGGCGAGATCGGCGTACGCCGGCGAACCTTCCCCGGTCAAATGAAGCAACAAGCCGGGTTACCAAAGGTCAAGCGGCGCATTTGGCGTACGCCGGTTTGACAAATGAAGTGCACCGAGGCTTTTACCCACCTGCGGGAGCGGATCCAAGGATTTTCAATTAATAAAAATGACGGAAATTAAGTTTCAATAATTCTAAATATCATTGAATGAAATTATTCACATGCAAGTTATACATTCACAAGAAAACTCAAAATGCTAATGAATTCAGCTGACAATGGCTACTTAAAAAAATACATGTATTAAATATAATAATTATAAATTCTACAGAAAAAACAGAAGAAGAATGAATGCTGGTAAAATATCAGATCACATCAGCGGCACTGAAATTTATTCATGAAACCCTTAAGACCTTCCCTATCAATTATACCTGTATTTTCTACCTCGCTGTTTCGAAGGGGGGGGGGGGTATTGAAAATTCACATGTAAATTAACCATCATTTTGTAGTAAGTGTGAAGCCTTAGCATTTTGAAAACTTTATAACGAAGGGTTGTTTGTAATATGAAGGTCAAGGTCATTTTATTTAGAATCTAAGACATTAAACAAAACTTGCTTTGTTAACAATTAGAGAAAAATGACAGAGAGGAAAAGGGGGGGGGGGATAAAATACTAAATATGTCATTGTCTTCTTTATTTGAAAAGAGGTAAATACAAATGCGTCCACAAGATACATGTATATACCACATACAATCCTTTTTATTTAATAGAAACTCATTGCTATGACAACATGAAGGTTTTCCCTGTCACCAGAGAAGTCATACCTCTGCACTTCGTACTATGGGTATTACACCAGTAGAGTCCCCGTAAACTACATAAATGAAAATAAAATGAATAGTTTGTAGTGTTTAAGGAAACGTTGGTCCTACGTTTTTTTTTTTTTTTTGGAAAATGCTAAGATATTTAATTTCTTCTTAATCAAATCAAGAGATTGGTAATATATAAAAGCTTCATACGTACCCTAGGATTATTACGGAAAAAGAAATTAGGAAGAAAAATAAATGGAATAAATCACAATTTTAAACAGATGAAACATAAACGTTTACACAAGGTTTTTTTTTTTTTTTTTTTTTTTTTTTTTTTTGGCCACTCGTTTCAGGAAACTGCACTTAAATTATTTTTTCTATTCTAATGGCAACGTTGGCGAAAATTTTAAATGAGATTAGCAAAACTACCAATAGTGATTATTATTTCTGTGGAAAGTTTCAATAATATTGTCAAAGCCTTTTACGAGAACATTCAAGGACAAAATCAAGTGTGGAAACATCGCAAAATAGATGACTCGACTGCAGCATTTTTATTATTTATTGCAAAATAAAAAGTATTTTCCGTCCATCCTTTTCCAATTTTTTGCCTAAATCTTTTTGACAGGAGGCAAGGAACACTTCTTTAAAGTTTCAAAAAGATTGTATTAAAAGCAACTGAGAAAGCTGAAATTAAAAAAAAATACCACTTTTTGTCAGTTTCCATGGCAACAGTAGCAATTTTGAAAATTCTGAAAAAGGATTACACATCTGTAGTTGCTGATCATTATGACAGTGAAGTTTTATCAAGATTGACAGAGGCATCTTCGAGAAATTGTGCAGACCGCGTTATTGGTCGAACAATAGCAATATGTCTCCCCGACTTCGTCCGGGGTGACATAATGTAGTAGTGTGTGAGTTGATTTATTTTAACAGATTATAAAATAAATTTAATTTAAAACATTTATCATTTACAGTAACAGCTTTCCATAAATTTATTCTCATTCTATTTAAATATGTCAGAAATGGATTTCCACACCAGTTCTGGTCAGTTTTTCATGGATCATTGAATTCTTGTTTTGGTTGGCTGAAAGTTTAAGTCATGTGATTTTTATCTTGAAGTTTCTATTAATATTATTATTTTTCAAATTGAGTCTGGAATGATCAGTTTGGTCATTCAGTTCTTGTGATATATTGATCTTGGACTTTATTTATCCATAGAAGGTCAGTTGATTTTAATATTATAAATACATTCATTTGATGAATAGTAAAAGTGAATGTGTGAATCATTTTTTTTTATAAATTAATAAGTAAAGAGTATATTATGATATTTGTTATTATTCAGATCCACTTGATATGATGTACATGTAGCTGAATTGCTGTATATATAACAAGGGTCTGATACCATATATTGGGTAAGATATGTGATGTATATGTTTGTATCATGTTAGGTGTAATGTGAGTCTGTATATTATGTATTTACATTCCATTGTTATGTGAATCATAACGGGAAACGTATCTATTTCATTAATAGTAGTGACTTACATTTGAATATCTGCTGTCGTATTTTATTCACTGAAGTTTACAAGAATTACGATATACAAAGAAAGTAAATCATATACAGTTAATTATAGTTTTTGTAGGAATAATCTCAATATTATACTAATATGAGAAATAGTTTTTATGCCTGAAATATTTATTGAATAGTGAGTATTAAGAAACAAGAAGAGTTATCTCTCTTTATGTATTTTATATGTGTGTGTGTTATTGTGTGTTAAATAATGTCTGTGTTTATTTCAGACTGTTGAATATTGAATATTGGATATATAAAGGATTGGAACACCAACAATATTTGTTACTTTGTGAACCCGGTAACAAATGGCGCCCACGTTGGGACTTTGGCTCGACTTCGACTACGACTGTGAACGAATCGCCATTTCGGTACTCATCCGCCAGGAGTTTTCCCGCAAAGTGACGTCATTCGCCATGGTCTTCAAACGGAAGTGACCTTTAGCTGAATTTCCGGAAGTTCCACATGTAAACAGTGAAGTAACCGTGAACTGTGAACCACATTGAATTTGAGGTACTGTTTTATTAACTTACAGCGTGTGTTACAACGTAAGTGAACTGGTGGACAACAAGACCGAATGATTAAACTTATGGATAAAGTTCAAGACTTTTAAATTTATTTTTTTTGTCTATATTTGATTTTTGCTTGCAAACTTGCAGGAAAGACTTTGTCATTTGACATTTCTTATATTGATGATTTAGCATACACTTTGACCGTGTGTGTAGATATTGGTCTACACTATATTGTATACATATAGATTGATTTTTCTTTTGCATGAACTGATATATTTTTGTGTGTGTGTGCATTAGAAGGTTATAATATATAAGCATCTGTTTTACAACTTTTTGGTGCAATATGAGCATGTTTATATGCTAAGATTATCTACTCTGAAGTTGAGTGACCTTGACCGGAAGTAACCTGAATTTACATTATTGACAAAAGGCCTGGTATTTCCTGATTGAGAACCAACTTGTACATATTTAGAAAGCAATTATTAGAATTTATTTTTTTTTACTTGAGAAATATTTTACAAGCAAAGAAGAATATTGCTATTTAATTACAAGGTGTTGATAAGAGTTTAGTATCAGATACAGTCTGTAGGTGTCATATATAGAGGAATTAATTAAGTAGTACAAAGTTAGTTCAGTTGGTGTTTATTTTTATTTGGGTTATTGCCAACTGAGGTGTGTCATTTACATTGAGTTTATTTTTTTTTTTAAGTTTTCAATTGGTGTCAATTGAAAACTGATTGTTGATTTAAAACTTAGTTAAATTTAAGTGAACTTGGAATAACTTGATAGTAAATCAAATTAAATTTAAAGACAGCTATTAATAAATTTATCAGGATATAAAATAAAATTTAAATAGCTATACTAAATTGAAATAAATTAAACTTTAATTAAATACATTTAGTCGAGTAAAATACAATTTTAAATAGCAATGTAAAAGCAATATTAACCACCAGACCCTCAAGAACAATTGTCCATATCAACTTTTGAAATAATCCTACATAACTGTACAAAATGGGAACGCCAGAGGAATACCAGAAATTAGTTGAAACCCTTCAGGGTATGGAAGTAGTACCAAAAGCTGATTCTAAAGAAGAATTAATCAATTGGATGAAAGCGTACCTGGAAAAAGAGAAAGTGGAAATCAAGATTGAACCTGGAACTGGTGCGAATGCTGGTGCCATTCCTAAAACGACTACCTATATTCATCCTCCTGCCATTAGTACATTTTCAGGAACAGATCCAACAGGAAAGAGTGCTACTACATTTGACCTATGGCTGTATGAAGTCAAGTGTCTTATGATTGAGAAAACCCATTCACAAGAAGCAATTGCTCAGGCAATTAGAAAATCATTGAAGGGCGAGGCAGGACGGACTGTAATGAGACTTGGACCTAAAGCAAAGATTCCAGAAATATTGGATAAACTTACAAGTGTTTATGGAGACGTAGATGAGAAAGAATCTATCCTTAGTGAATTCTATGGTGCAAGGCAGAAACAGACTGAAAACATCACAGAATGGAGCTGCAGATTGGAAGATATTCTGGGAAGAGCGATAATGACAGGTCAAGTTTTTGAAAGCAGTTCTGACAAGATGCTACATGATATGCTATGGAAAGGATTAAGACCAGATTTGAAAGACATTACACACTATGAGTGAGAGAAATACCACTCATTTGATTCACTTCGAGTAGCATTGAGGAAAATTGAAAAAGAAAATCAACAAGAAAGTGAAGGGAAAATTTCTAAACAGCTATCAAAGAAGGCCATTGTTGAAGATACATCATCATCAGATGAGATAAAAGGAGTATTAAAGCAAATTACACACAGATTAGAAAATCTAGAGACTGCAAAACGAGGTAGATCAAAATTTAGAACACCATTCAGAGGATCACGGTATCGAGATCAGACCTACAGGGGTAGAGGATTGAGAAATGATTTTACTCGAACGAAGCAAAGCAGTAAGGAACATTTTACTTTTCCTAGCATTACCTGCAGACGTTGTGGAAGAGAGGGACACATCGAGAGAGGATGTCGTGCCAACACTGATGTCCATGGAAAGAATTTAAACTAGATGCTGTCTATGCGCTAGGGTCGGCCGTAGACAAACAACCTAAGGACCCTTTGATTGCAAAAATGGCTAAATATTTACCACCTGGAATATGCGGTAAACCTACAGAAACCAGTATTATTATCAACAAAATAGAAACTCAAACACTTTTAGACACAGGATCAACCGTTTCGACTATCAGCAGAAAGTTTTATGAAGAAAATTTGAGCAACATTCCTATCCAGAAATTAGAGTTATTACTTGATATTGAATGTGCAGATGGAAAATCATTACCCTATGAAGGATTCATTGAAGCTGAATTAGAAGTACCTAAAATCAGACATAAATTTAGTGCCATTTTATTAGTCATTCCAGAGAGTAATTACAACAACTCAGTAACCCTACTGCTTGGAACGAATGTCTTGGGTGTGATTATGGAAATACTTCAACAACAAGAAGGTGAAAAATATCTACAGAAATCTAACTTGACAACCGAATGGTACCTTACATTTAGATCCATACACTTACGAGAAAAAGAGTTGCATAGAAACAGTTCAAAGTTGGCCATTGTGAGAAATGCACAAAAGAGAATCATTATTCCACCAAACAGTAATATAACTTTGACAGGATATTTGGACAAGAAGATTCCTTATCACCATACAGCAGCTATGTTACAGAGAACAGAAAGATCAGTAGTACCTGAGGATTTAGATATTGTACCATCTCTTATGGAGTACAGATACATGGACAGCAACTGGATAGAAGTAGAAATCAGCAATATAACAACCAGAACTGTATCAATACCAGAGAAGGCTATTATCTGTGAAATACAACCAGTATCCATTGTACAGAACTCCACCTATGCTACTAACAATGAATCACTACAACAAATGGATAAAATCACCATAGATGAGAAAACTTTGACAAAGGAAGAACTTGTTCGAGGAAGAAATATGATATACAATTATGCAGATATATTTTCAACAGGAGATACTGATGTTGGACATATAAGAACAGTACAACACAGGATTGAGTTAGAGGATGAATATCCATTCAAGCAACATTATCGAAGAATTCCACCATCAATGATAGGCGAAGTTAGACAACATCTGAAATTATTACTACAATCTGGCATTATTAGAAAATCTCATTCTCCATGGTCTTCCAACATTGTATTAGTCAAGAAGAAAGACAACTCTCTTCGTTTTTGCATTGATTTTCGACAGTTAAACAAGAGAACAAAGAAAGATGCATATGCACTACCTCGTATTGAAGAACTTTTAGATTCCATGGCAGGCAACAAATACTTTTCAGTCATCGATATGAAATCAGGATATCATCAAGTAGAAATTTTCGAACCTCATAAAGAACGCACTGCTTTTACAGTCGGCCCACTTGGACTGTACGAGTTCAACAGAATGCCATTTGGTCTGACAGGAGCGCCAGCCACTAATCAAAGATTGATGCAGGATATTTTGGGAGAGTTGCACATGAAGATCTGTTGCATATTCATAGACGACATTATCATCTTTTCATCTACATTTGAAGAACACCTAACAAGACTGAAGCAAGTGTTTGATCGGATCAGAGATGCCAACTTAAAACTATCACCAAAGAAAAGCTCATTTTTTAAAACCAAAGTCAAATATGTAGGACACATTATATCAGAAGAGGGTGTAGAGACTGATCCAGAAAAGATTGAAAAGATCATCAATTGGCCTACTCCAACTAGTCCTGAAGAAGTCAGAAAGTTCATTGGATTTGCAGGTTATTACCGAAGATTTATTCAACACTTCAGCCAAATTTCAAAACCTCTTACTGAACTTATGCCAATCAACAATAAGAAGAAAACCAAGAAGAAACCAGTAAAGCAGAAAGAATGGATTTGGGGAAATGAACAACAAGCAGCTTTTGAAACATTAAAGAAGAAACTTTCAACATCACCAATTTTAAGTTATCCAGATCATGATCGACCATTTGAAATTCACACTGATGCTAGCAGTTCAGGACTTGGAGCCATTTTATATCAAGAGCAGAATGGGATAAAGAGGGTTATTGCATATGCCAGCCGCAGTTTATCAAAGTCTGAACAACACTATCCCGCACATAAGTTAGAATTCTTGGCGTTAAAATGGGCTCTATGTGATAAATTCCATGATTATCTCTACGGAAACACCTTTAACTTATGTGTTAACCACAGCTAATTTGGATGCTACGGGACATAGATGGCTAGCTGCTCTTGGAGTCTACAATTTTGAAATCATATACAGGCCAGGAAAAAGTAATGTGGATGCAGACAGTTTATCAAGATTACCCACATCAAAAGATAGTACTCACATATCAGCAGATTCTATCAAATCTATTTGTAATAGGATATGCATTCCATATATTGAAACAATATCTTGTGAGCAGAATACTTTATGCCCAGCTGAGATAGATCTTCAGATGAATATGAGACATGATGTCAATTGGTCAGAGATACAGAACCAGGATCCAGTACTAAAAGCTTGGAAAGAACATGTACGTAGAGGAAAGAAGCCAAAGCGAGGACAAATGCCAAATAGTCCATTTTTCAAACTTTTTGATCAGCTTATATTGGAAGATGATACATTGTACAGGAAAACAATAGTACAGGATAAAGAGAGGAAACAGCTTATACTGCCATCACCACATATTAACAATGTACTAGAAGCATTACATGACGAAATGGGCCATCAAGGGCGAGACAGAACAACCAGCCTTATTCGTGACAGATTCTATTGGCCTGGAATGACAACTGACATCGACAACTGGATTAGCCACTGTCAAAAGTGTATCAAGAGGAAAAAGGAACCTAGTATTGCACCACTAGTGAACATTCAGACAACTCAACCCCTAGAACTTGTTTATATTGACTTTCTTTCACTAGAAAAATCTAAAGGAGGCTATGAAAACATTTTAGTTATAACAGATCACTTCACCAGATATGCGCAAGCTATACCGACCAGAAACCAAACAGCAAAAATTACTGCAGAAACTTTGTTCAACTATTTTATTGTAAATTATGGAATACCACAAAGAATTCATTCGGACCAGGGGGCAAATTTTGAGAGCAACTTAATCAAAGAATTATGTAACTTAACAGGAATTGATAAATCCAGAACTACTCCCTATCATCCGATTGGCAATGGCATGACGGAGAGATTCAATCGCACTCTATTAAATATGCTTGGAACTTTAGATGCAAACAAGAAACAGAACTGGAAATCACATGTTGCAACTATGGTACATGCCTACAACTGTACTAAACATGAATCTACAAGAGAGTCACCTTATTTCCTCATGTTTGGGCGAGAACCAAATTTACCAGTGGATATCGCATTTGGTTTAACAAGAAAAGAAAATAAAAAACCTAATACCAAATATATTCAAGATTTAAGAGAGAGACTATTGGAAGCATACAGAGTGGCCACAGAACAGATACAGAGAGCGCAGAAGAAACAAAAAGACAGATATGACTTAAGATCCAGAGGAAGAGTGGTACAACCTGGTGATAAAGTTCTCGTAAAGATCGTAGCATTTGATGGCAGGCATAAACTGGCTAATAAATGGGAAGATGATATATATGTAGTGATAAAACAGCCTAATCCAGAGATTCCTGTTTATACAGTGAAGAAGCAGAATGGTCAAGGCAAGGAAAGAACACTACACAGGAACCTTTTATTTCCTATCGGATTCATATCGGAGGATAATGTTAATTCCACAAAGATTTCAACACAAACAGAAAGGAAAACAAGACCAATTCCAAAGCCTAGAACAAAATCTAAAGCTATAATTCATGAAAGCTCATCAGAAGAAGATGATTCAGAAGAAGTCATTGTAGTTACTGAGGATAGTCTGACTTCATCCAGTCATGACAAAGATGTTCAGTTTTCTACAGAAGATGTTGTTACAGAATTAGAAAGAAGCGCTTCAGATACAGAAATTGGTGAGATAGATGAAACAGAAAACACCGGTGTTGAAAAGAGTATGGACGACACTGTTGAAGATAGTATTGAAGATACTGTTGTAGATGAAGACAGTGCTACAGATGTTGATGAAGGGAATATTGATGATGATGAGTTACATGAAGCCGAGGCTGAGGAAGTTGATTCTGCAGTCAAAGCTGACACTGAAGATGAAGCCGAGGCTGAGGAAATTGATTCTGCAGTCAAAACTGACACTGAAGTTGAAGCAGCAGAAGTAGTTGATGAAGAGAAAGTAGTCCCTAGGCGTTCAATCAGAAAGAAAGGAAAGCCAAATTGGATGACTACAGGTGAATTTGTGTCGAAATCCTCTATAACTTACAAAAGATCGTGAGTGGAGAGAAAAAGCAGATTATGCTGTGCAATTAATTAAGAATGGTGTAATTAAAGAGACACCAAATTCTACCGATGCAATTTTACAAATCATTTTAAAATCGTAATGGATGTTTGCTGATATATGAACATTTTTTTCAAAATGTAATTCAGGGAAATCATGTTTAATGTTTTCATTTACCAGGATGATTAGCATGAAATGACATGGAAGTCATTTATTGAACGAGGGGGAGTATGTAGTAGTGTGTGAGTTGATTTATTTTAACAGATTATAAAATAAATTTAATTTAAAACATTTATCATTTACAGTAACAGCTTTCCATAAATTTATTCTCATTCTATTTAAATATGTCAGAAATGGATTTCCACACCAGTTCTGGTCAGTTTTTCATGGATCATTGAATTCTTGTTTTGGTTGGCTGAAAGTTTAAGTCATGTGATTTTTATCTTGAAGTTTCTATTAATATTATTATTTTTCAAATTGAGTCTGGAATGATCAGTTTGGTCATTCAGTTCTTGTGATATATTGATCTTGGACTTTATTTATCCATAGAAGGTCAGTTGATTTTAATATTATAAATACATTCATTTGATGAATAGTAAAAGTGAATGTGTGAATCATTTTTTTTTTATAAATTAATAAGTAAAGAGTATATTATGATATTTGTTATTATTCAGATCCACTTGATATGATGTACATGTAGCTGAATTGCTGTATATATAACAAGGGTCTGATACCATATATTGGGTAAGATATGTGATGTATATGTTTGTATCATGTTAGGTGTAATGTGAGTCTGTATATTATGTATTTACATTCCATTGTTATGTGAATCATAACGGGAAACGTATCTATTTCATTAATAGTAGTGACTTACATTTGAATATCTGCTGTCGTATTTTATTCACTGAAGTTTACAAGAATTACGATATACAAAGAAAGTAAATCATATACAGTTAATTATAGTTTTTGTAGGAATAATCTCAATATTATACTAATATGAGAAATAGTTTTTATGCCTGAAATATTTATTGAATAGTGAGTATTAAGAAACAAGAAGAGTTATCTCTCTTTGTGTATTTTATATGTGTGTGTGTTATTGTGTGTTAAATAATGTCTGTGTTTATTTCAGACTGTTGAATATTGAATATTGGATATATAAAGGATTGGAACACCAACAATATTTGTTACTTTGTGAACCCGGTAACAAAACAACGGTAAGAAAACAAACGCATAAACAATAGAAAGGGCAAGAGATTCAAAAGATAGATACATGTAACAAGTTTGAGACAACAATCACCCAGTAACTCAGGTAATAATGAAATGGCTAATTGCCTTCCCGCGACAGTATTATTTCTTGTTTGAAAACATTTGAATATCAATTCTGCAATGATTTTTTATTTCACTTTTTTCATTTGTCACGAGTCACAATAATTTATTCTTATTTGATAAAGTGGATTTTTTTTAAAAAATTATTTTTAATGTATTCTACAAGTTCTTTTCTGTGTGAATCATATCTAGAACATTCAAATGTGCAATGAATTTCGTCTTCTTTCGAGTTTGAGGTGCAATTTCTACAATTTCGATCTGGAATATTTCTATATCTGTCTAGTTCAATTGCTAATTATGAGAACTTCCAAGAAAATTCGTAATGCACCTGAGTACATCTTGTCTTTGTATAAATGAAAAAGGTTTCTTTATTTAAAACAAGACTGTGTAGAGAGGAACCTTTTTCAATTATACAAAGACAAGACGTACTGAGGTGCATTACGAATTTTCTTCAATCAAATTCGCTTAATTACTGTAATTATAACTAAAATATGACCCCTATATATTGAATTTGAGGTGAAAGGGTTAAAAATTCAAGGTCACCTTTAGGTATTCCAGCAACTTTTCCGGGAAATATAATTTACCTGAAATAGATTGTCTCTCCTTGGAAGGGTATGACCTTTCATTTGAATAAACTTTCACTCCTTTCACCCAAGTATGCTTTGTGTCTTTGGTAGAAACATCTCACTGCTGAGTGTGGAAGAGAAGATCTTCTTCTAGCAAAGAGGATGATAAAGTACTCGGCAGCTAACGATTACAAAAAGATACAACCATCAAGAAAGGCGGTATTCCACACATCAGTGTAATTAGTGGATATAGTCAAGGAGAAGAAAGGTGATTTCGCACGACTCTTTCCCGCATGAGCTCGTCGAAAAGGCAATGCTACATTATCAGGTTCCAACACACGTAGTCAGTGTACATGTAGTTTACAGTTACTTTAGTGTTATCAAGTTGTGGTTTACATTCAATGACGACACAATGCCTAGCAAGACGTACTGGGAAGAGTAATGGTAACAGGATGCACCTATCCCGTTTGTCATAGCCATGAATCTTATAATCAGTGCAGCTGAGAGAGGCGAGAGAGAGAGAGGGGAGCATGCCCAAGATGCAGTCAGGCATTTATATATCAGCAAACAGAGGATTAATTTTATGAATGACCTGACTATTACCACAACCACCCATCCGAAGAAACAGTGACTTGGAAAGAGATGGAATTCAAACCAGTCAAGAAACATAATATTGAAGGGACGCCTTATAGAAAGATTCACATTTAAGGCATTCCAACTATCAACCAGAATTCAGTCAAAGTTTGAGCAAATGGTATGGCGATACATTAGGAGAATCAAAGAACAATATCCATAATGGCTGCGGAAGATCAACAAGATTGGCCTACCGGGCAGGTTCAAAGCATGGATCGACCAAAATGGCGTTTTGTACAGGCTTGTGTGAATGCTTATGGTATATAAAGTTTCAACATCAACAGCAGAAGCTATGGAAAGACTAGTCAATGGATATCTTCGTCGATGGCTTGGAGTTCCACCCAGCCTCACTTGTATCGGTTTGTACAGCCTCCCCTCATTCTTCTGAGGCCAGTCAACGATATATTTCCATCAGCTACTAACTTACTGGGATTAGGCCTAACAGAATCACCAGACTGCAAACTGAGGAGAAAGAGCTACACTTGCCCACATCCTGACCGGAGGCAAGGTAACACTCTAGCAAGGACGATATAGATGAAGGCATGATAAGGTATTGGCAGACACATTAGAGAAGGAGAGAAAAAACATCAGACGGAACATCGTCGGTACTAAGAGAGATTCCTTTTATTCTTGCAAGCTAAAGTAAGGAATAGCAGCCTGTTAAATGCATCGGTTTGGCAGGTGCAGGTTTACCGCAAGGGGAAACTCACATTGTCTGATGAGTTCCAGAAAACACAGGGGCCGGACTTAGTTTGTGATGTGAAGACAAGAGGATCATCATCACTGAATAACAGTGCCATAGGAAGAAGGTTGCGATGTAGCCCATGAGAAAAAGAGTTCCAAATACTGGCAACTCAAGGAACAATGTGACCAGAGGGAATGAAAGACATGACTATTCCCATAGAAGTTGGATGCCGTTGATTCCCTGTGCAATCTGTATTGGGAATGACTAAAGCCTTTGGAATCAATGACAGAAATAGAAAAAGAGTGGTCAAGAACTTGGGGAAGGAGGCAGAGAAGGCTGGATTTGGCATCTAAGAGACACGAAGGAGTGGAACCCGCATGATGCTCAATGAGAAAATCACCACTCTGGACCCACCAACTGTAGGATGTCATGGTTTTGAAGGGTTGAAACATCCATTTGGAAGCCATCCGATGATGTCAATGACAGACTTACCGCCCAACAGTAGATAGATAGCAGGAAGTGACAAACAGAGTACAGATTATGGATTTTATGTCAAAAGTCAGATAGCCTGACAAGTATTAAGCAGAATTTTCCTTAGCGCTATTACACTTTTGCAAATGGCCCTATAAGAGCACCATATGACAATTTCATACAATCATATTTTGGTCAAAGTATGTTCTTTAAATTGCAGATACTCAGGAGCTAACGGGTGAAACCTCCTCCTCTTTGTGCACTGTCCTAGACCCTTGTCGTTGGATTAAAACGAAACCATTGTTCATCACACAACATTCAAGAATGTCACTGACTAACTTTCTAAGCCTTTTAAAAGCTAACTTGTTATTACAATGTATTGGAACTTAATGAATTTAATTTATATAGATTTATTATACAAAAAACAATAACCCTTTATTATTTCATCTGATATTTAATGGCGAGCGTAGAGAGCTCTTAATTTCGGACTGTGCACATTAATCTAAATGATTTTTCCCCGGAGTTACCTCTGACCCACAGTAGACTTTTTCTTCCATAACTGCATCGTAGGTAATGAGGTTTACTGCGAAAAAAATTCGATTGGATTAATGTGCAGCAGTCCGAATTTTCCCCCTAGCGCAGAGAGCTTGCGGCTCGCTATTTTTTTTTTTTTTTTAAAAAGTTGTTGTTTTATCTGTAGGTTTTACTGTTGACAGTGAGTAAATTATTAGATATATAATTATAGATATTAATTTGTTCATACTTAAGAAACTCTGACCGATTTCGGTATAATATGGAACTTCGGCCATTTTGTTAGCAAGTAATTAAATGACTATTGCCCTTATACCATTTAAAACTGTACGTATACTACATGGTTAAAATACTGTAATTTTCCTAAGAACATGTTCATATCTGTAAGAGATATACAATAAACTAATTGTTAATTTCAATATTAATAAAATAGAAATTAAAGCTTTTATATATTCAGGTGTGTAATTTCAAAGCTGAGAACATACTTTACAGTTCTGTAATTTGATATCAGTTCCTGTTACCAGGGACGTACACACTAACAAGTATATGTCGATCGAATCAAGCCGTATATTAAATATGTCGCTCGTAGTAGCAACATTTAGGATATGAATGATTTAAACTCGATTTCAAACTTTTTTTTAATTTTAAATATCTCATCCTCACCCTTCAATGAAAGATACAATACACATGTATAAATAAAAGGCCAAAAAGTTGTCAAGGTCAGTCAGCATGGTGTTTTGCAAATGTCCTTATACCAATCAATACATTAGCAAATAATTTCAGTTTCATATTAAAAGATTAAGGATGTATCAGTCTAACAGAAATAAACCCCTTATTAGTGACGCTCTGTTATACAGGTGCATGTCATCGAAAAAGTATTTGATAATCAATCAGGCGCCCACTGTCCCAGCCTAATATTCTACAATTTCTTGGATTTCTATCATAAAAGAAACTTATCATCGAAGTTCCTGCATAAGGATTGATAAAATTTAGAGATATTGATATAAATTCCATTTTAAAGAGATCGTAAGCAAATTGGATAGTTGTTCTTTGAACTGTAGAACTTGACACCAGGTACAAAATTCCACACGATATAAATCCATTTCCGTACTCCTGGACTTTTACAGGAACTTTTATACGTCTGTACTCTCTTAAGGTTCCAGGGTAAAAATGCAAAACATAAATATTATCCAGATCATTTTTCTCCGTGTATATCAGCCATAAACCATTGTCATCTGCTTCCAAGTCAAAATAAGAATTACTTTCTTTGTACAAAGTCGTATCACCTTCGTAATTTGAATTGATCACGTCGAATGCCATAACTACAGCACGTAAACGGAGATCATAACAAACTATTTTCAGGGTACCTTTCCAATGGTAACAAAATGTGCCATTGTGTACTACATGGTCTGTTCCTTGGTACATAAACTGAGTTAAGTTATACATGACTGTTTCCTTGCTTTCTGCTGTAGACGAATACTCGGTGAGATACTGTCCGCTCACTCCCTCTGTGACCCAGATTTTCTGAGAAGACATTAAGTGGTCTCTCATCCAACATCCCTTTTGTGACCCGGACTTCGTTTTGAAGAACGGAATTCCAATTTTCTTTATGACACAATCTGAAACAAAGATTATTCTATTCAAACATCCAAAGACTATACGCATTATCCCACCAATAACACGGTAATTATAATCAGAATAGCTTATCACCCGATACTGACAACTTTTCCTGGGCTTTGGTGTTGTTGGGATAGGAGTGGTTGTGGTAGTGGCTACGGTTGTTGTGCTGGTAGTTGTTGTTGGATCTGTTGTCGTTGTTGTCGAACTGCTGGTTGTTGTAGATGATGCTGGTAATAAGGTGTACATATTTTGTTAAATAACATTTTTTTGATATCAATTGTAAATACAAAGGATAATTTAAGGCTAATTTTATATTAAAACATACGTGAGCATGCCACAACATCAGTAGTCATTTCCTCTTCTGAAACCGAATTCTCTGTTGGGGATGCTGTTATAAAAATAAAAGTTTTAATTACTAATGATTAGTTCTCTGCAATTATACTATACAACAAGTACAGTTAGAGTTAATAAGTCTAAAGTATTTGACTATTTGAAACATTTTGCAATTAAACCTGTCATGTCACTGGTATATCTAAATTGCCATGATTACTTCATTTTGAGACAAAGGCTCGGGCCGTCCTATTGATATGACACTTAAACCAGTCTGGGGAAGTGTCTTTGTCAATTTCTGCATCAATATTAATTAAGGCTAAAACAAACATTTTGTTATTTATGTAAATTTTCCTCAACACTCATTCTTAGAATGTTGTTTGGCTTCAATTTTTCTTACCCAGATAAGTACAGGAACAAAGACAGGTATCGTTTGATGTAGGAGACCAGGTTTTTCCTGGTGACCCCTTCTCTCCCCGTTCTCCTTTTGTACCAGTATCTCCACGCTCACCCTTAGGACCAGAAACCCCCTTTTCACCCCTAGGACCTGCATCCCCACGATCTCCTTTTACTCCAGTCTCTCCCAGGTCTCCTTTCCTACCACGGTAACCCCTAATTCCTTTTGAACCCACGTCTCCTTTTCGACCAGGGATGCCCCTTTTCCCTTTAAGGCCAGTATCTCCTTGGTCACCTTTTTTACCTATGTTGCCTTGTTTTCCTAATCAAAGAAAAACTCCATGCACGTATCAGCGGTGTAAAAAGTGACTGAATCGCACTACTATTACATGTTTTAATAGCTGGAGTGAAATTAAATTTAAATTTTATGGATTTTAGAAATTCGCATTTTTAATGTATGAGGGAAAAATCTATTTCGTTGTGATTTTACAATTTTTCTTTCCCTATATGTCATAATTTGTACAAACCTTAAAAAACATACTTATTTTTCAATGGGCCTGGAAACAGATTTGAACTCTTTTTGAATATTTTCTAAAATTTTCAGTATAATATAATGACTTGACGTTATATGTTGCTGGAGCATTTCACACAAAAATATTATAAAAGCGTGTTTAGAAACTTCTTTTACTGGAAATTATTAAAACTACGAATTCCGGGACGCGTTTGATTGCATCACATCCTCGCACTGTTACGAAGTAAATCTTATCCTTAATGTATAGAAAAGTGGAAAATTTGTTGCTTAATAATGAAAAATATTAAAACTTTGATCCAGAAAATTTAGGGTAGAAAGGTGAAAAAACAAAATTACTGGCATTGTCAGTCCTTCTCAGTGATGATCGTGTCTATGTTTACAAATACAAAGGTTTGACGTGATGTTATGAACAATGTCGTTGTCAATGAATTTTTAGAATTTTCGTGTAAGTTCAATTCATTAAAATAAGGATCCTTTTTTTTTGAAATAGAAATTTAGAATTGCAAACAAAAACAACGATGCAGCTGTGTCATGACATACATTTAAAATACCTCGTAAACATCCAATTTTAAGCAGGTGAATTTCTCAGTTTTGGCTGAAGGTATCTGACTTTCATCACTTTTGTTGCTGCATATAAGTAGTATAAACCCCTAAACTAATATATTAAGTTCTTTTATTGCACTCACCAGGGTATCCAGGGTAGCCTGGAATCAAGTAGAGAATAATTGATTTCAGTGTTAAGTTTGCAAAAATAATTTTATAACATAATTCAGAATAATTAAAAGAAGATATCATCGGGTCTGTCATTCATTTAACAATGATAAGAACAGGTGTGAACACTTATTTCTTATGAGTGTTTTCTGTGTATAATGTGCAATTAATTTTATAATTTTAGCAATTACAATAAAAAAAAATTAAGTCAACAGTTTTGTTATCAAAGTGTTCGAACTTTCTGATCTTCGACTAAAACATGTACAAAGAAGGAAAGTGAGTTACCCCGAGGTCCTTGTGGCCCAGGGTTTCCTGAAAAAAAAAATTAAAATACATTGTATACTTTTAGTTTTCTTTAATTTCAATCAGTGATCATTTATTAATTTCTCCCAAGTGAATAAATACCCATAATTACTTTTCTAATACAGAAATGTAAATATCTTAAATATCCAATGAGTTCTCCGGTATATAGAGCATAATGGTCTTGAGGAACGTTTTTCTCCCTTTTGTATTGGAGCATCGTTCTTACGAATAAAAGTCTGGCATCTTATAAGGACGGAAACTTTGTATTTAAAAACAAGTAAGAACTTACCAATCTCCCCCTTTTCTCCTATAAATAGAAAAACAAATTTAAAATCACAGTTTATAACATATGTTCAGATATTTGTACCTGTGTTCAAATCAAGTGTATATATCACAAATGAGTTGATGACAGGTTTAATTCAATTAATTTAACGATATGTACAGCTGATTTGGCAATAAGTAAAATAGAATTAGAGATACGTACAAAAATAGAATTAAAGATAGGTATAATTGATTTAAAGATAGGTGAAATTTAATTGAACCAAGGTATAATTGAGTTGTGCCTATCTTTAAATCCGTTGTAGACATGTTTTAATTGTACCTATCTTAAATTGCATTGTACCTATCTTTTAATCAATTGTGACTATCTTCAAATGATTTAAAGATAAGTATAATTCAATTGAACCTTTCTAGATCTGTAATTGAATAAAAGATAGGTGTCATTCGATTAACCTAATCGAGCACACACCCCCCCCCCCTACACACACACACACACACACACACACACACAAACGATATGAATCTGTAAAAGGGGTATGAAACACGTACCCCGGAAATTCTAGAGGTGGGATCAGATGCACGTAAGCTAAGTAGAGTAAGCATCCCCTTTCACATCCGCCGTGAGCCCTATGTATTGATCAGGTAGACGAAATATTCCATAGTCAAATTTAGTATAAAAACATAGGCCGAACAATTGGTATGAAATATGTCAGTCAAAATACGACCCAATGATATATTATATTTGCTAACAAAGTCATGTTAACGATCACAGAAAGTGTTTTCTTTTCTTATGTAGAAGTTTTTGAATAAATTCTGCTACATAGGAATAAAAATAATTATAATAATAAAAAAAAAACAGGTAGACTAATAAAGCAGCACGATTAGCGCCCATCGTCATCCCAACAGTTTGTTGAAGACCTGGTCTCAAAATACTACATAAATGTTCTTTTAATAAAATTCAGAGTGCTTGTGGGTATTATCAGATTGATTTTTAACAAAGTGATTTTGTTAATGACAAAACACAAGATATGAAAATTTCCGAGTTCCATTTTTATTGAAGAAGCAATTAGCTATGATATATAAAGCCTAGTAGCCTAGTTTTTAATTTAACCTGAGAAATAGTTGTAGAAAATGTAGAAAAGTCGTCATACGTTTTGACTTTTTATATATTTTGTGATTTCAAATTTTCTAAATCATTTAAGCTTATCTTTAATTCAATTATATCTATATTCAAATGTAGAAAAGTCGTCATACGTTTTGATGTTACTGACTTTTTAAATATTTTGTGATCTCAAATTTTGTAAATCATTTAAACTTATCTTTAATTCAATTATATCTATATTCAATTCATTTGGAGATAGATTCAATTATTTGAAGATAGGTAAAAATATTCAACATATCTGCAAAATTGAATATATGTAAATTCAGCGTTACATAAGTTAAGGTTAAAGATTTCAAGAGGCAATATCGCACGAAACGTAGAACTAGATACAATTTTCACCCTTTCATCGTTTAATTTTGAAAAAAAAAACATCACATGTATTTCGAACATTCATATATGAAAAAGAAACTCAAATCCATCTTGCTATCTTTTTTTTCACCAGAATATTTTGGAATCAGGGAGAGTTAAATTTTTCAATCATCTACTTTAATAAGATGCATGTATATACCTGGCACTCCGGGTAACCCTGAAAGAAGAAAATGTGGTATGTTTATCTCTCTTTATTCAGATGTTTTGAAATCTCGATAAATTTTCAGCTTTTGTGTTATATTAAATTTTAAATTTCTTTGATTTGGAAATATAACAAATTTTACATATTTTGTGAAGTTTGATCGACTAATTTATTTACATGTCCCTCAGTATTAGCAAATGATCTATGAAAATTCAAGAAAACAAAAAAGGTTGATTAAATTAATTTGTGGTCATAAAGGAAGTACATATATAAGGTTACCTAATAGAATAAAAATCTCTTTATAAGAAATAATGTTTACCTGGTATACCCATCAGGCCTGGGTCACCTGTGAAAGAAATGGAAACAATAAAACAAATTCTACTGGTATGGACTTATTGAAATATCTTTTTTGTCTTATACCAAAAATATTTTATCTTACAATTAATAATATTTATGACAGAATTCATATTTACGTTTCTTTACCTCATAAATTCCTCGAGTTAGTAAAATCAGAAATTTTGTTTCAATGTGAAATCAAAATTTCAAACAAAAAACTCTAATAATGTATTTGACATAAAAAGTTTAGCTTGGAAATTTGTATCTTAAAAGCTTCAGTGCTGAGTATCACTTGAGGTAGTCAGATTGATGGATACTTAATTGTGACTGATGGACAGCCACGTGTCCGGATCTTTATACATAATGTTGAAGGTTAATGCAAACATGTAATGGTAAGTCTAACTAGTGTTAAGGAATTCTATCGGTTAGTTAACACAAGCGGCCCGTGGGCCACAACGCTCACCTAAGTAATTTTAGCTCTACTGCTTTCCACAAGATTTTATTTTCCTATGAAAAATAATGACCCCATATTAAGGCCCCACCCTTATTCCAAGGGGCCTCTGATTCCAACTATGATCCCTTATTGTGGCCCACCCATCCCCCCGGGAGGCCAAGATTTATACACTTTAGAATCATCATAATGACAGGAAACTTTCACAAAAGTTTCATATTTCTGGTACAGTGGTTCATAATAAATTTAAACCTTTGAAATCCTATTGTGGCCTAACCTTACCCCCGGGGGCCATGATTTGAAAAATTTAGAATATACACAATCTCAGAATGCTTTCACTTAAGTTTCATTGTTTTTTTCTAGTCCTGTGGTTTATGAGAAGATTTTTCTTTTCCTATTTACATGTATTTCAATTTAAAACTTTTATTCCATACTGTGACCCCACCCTACACCTACGGGCTATGATTTGAACAACTTAAATTTTACACAACATCAGGATGCTTCAGATAAATTTTATTTTTTCCGATCCAGTAGTCCACGAAAACAAGATTAAAAAAAAATAACATTTTTTTTCTATATATTTAAATGTAAAGCTAAAATCCTCTATTGTGACCCTTACCCCACAGGGACAAGATTTAAACAATTTGGAATCAAAACTATGTCTGGTATTCACATACCTTTCATTTTTTTCTATCCAGGTGGTTCATCAGAACAAGATTTTAAAGGGGTTTCTACAAGAAATATGGAGTTAACGATAAGTATTCAAGCTCAAAATCCATTAAAACAATACAAATCGCGAGCAGAGCAAACACGGACCTTCAAAAACATCAGAGGTGGGATCAGGTGCCATGGAGGAGTAAACATCCTCTGTCTACCGGTCCCACCCACCGTGTGATCCTTGTCATGATCGGGAAAAAACGGGAAAAAATCCGTAGACATTTCAGTGTGTAAACAATGGCCTAACAATGGGTATGAAAAATGTAAGTCAGCATTTGACTTGATAGTTGATAATAAGGTCATTGTATCGACCATAAAACTTGCTAAATGATAACTTAAAACGAGACTGTTGATATCCCTGTTTCATCAACTTGGTTGTAAATAGCTTGACTCGTTTTAGAAATTGTTCATACGTAGAGCATGTTCTTGCGTATCGAATCAACTGGGAGACAAAAACCCCATTTGCAGGTGATAAGGGTATATTGCTACATAAGTAAGGGAAGCTGAGGATTGAAAAATTGAATTCATCACGTTCATCATAAATCTAAGCCATAAAGCTTTGTTGTTAAGTTACCATTAATATCTTTTTCTAGTAAAATATTCAAAGATGAAACAGGTGCATCAGATTCTGTGATATCATTTATTTAAAGCTCACTGGGATATATCGAGTTGACATATGAATGGAAGTAACTATTGTTAATTGACAATGCGTCGTCGACATATCTAGATGTCAAGTTGAATGCGACAGCATACATAAATTTAAATGTAAAACTTTGATTCCCTATTGTGACCCCACCCTACCCCAGTGGTAAATGTGAACAATAAAGAATTTAAACTATCTTAAGACGCTTTTACATAAGTTTCATCTTTTTTTAGTCCAGTGGTTCACGAGAAGGAGATTTTAAAAGAATCCTATCAATTCTTGTGTAAAATTTTGATGTCTTGTTGTGGCCTCACCCTCTCTATTCTAGAGGGTCATGATTTGTTAATTTAAAATCTACACAACCCTACGTTCCTTTCACGTAAATTTCATCTTTTCTTGTCCAGAGATTCAAAACAAGATTTTTAGGGATTGTTTTCTTGTGTATACAATGGAACCTGTCTAATTCAACATGCACTTGGGGGACAAATTTTGTGTCGGATAGACAGGATATCGGTTTGCATAGTGTAAAGAGCATAAAAACAGCAGATTAATTGAATTATTTTTTCTGATCCACTGGTTCTTGAGAAGAAGATTTTTAATGACCATCCTATTTTTACCTTTTCATGATTATCTCCTCATCTGAACAATTTAGAATTTCCTTTACCCAAGGATGCTTTGTGCAAACTTCGGGTAAAATTGTCTTAGTGGTTCTTGCATAGGAGTCAAAATGTGAAAAGTTTATAGACAGACAGATAGTCGAACGAATGCCGGACAATGGGTGATCAGAAAAGCTCATTTGAACTTTCAGATCAAGTGAGCTGAAAACTTGTGGTTATGCAAAGCAAAAAGACATGTATCTTGTATCTTCTATTAGTATGTCTTTGTTGTTCAATTTATTAAGTATCAATCATCAGATCAAGAAAATTCTTAACTACAGAAAATGCTTTTAAAATGTTTTTAAAAAACGTTTATGACGAAATAACATTTTGTACAGGATATTGAAGTCAAATCACACTTTTGCTATCTTGTCATTTAGTTAACTGATATTTTGATGTGTGAAGCAAATTACTTTTGTTTTATTTCAGCATGCACTATAGTTTTAAGAGCTAATTGCCTCTTCTAATCAATGAAAATAGACTGCAGAGATACTTATCTTACCATTTTCTCCTTTTAGACCTGAAATATTGTTCTTTAAGTTATTTCATATTTATTAATTTTTTTTATATAATAATGTATGTTAATTTTTTTTCTAATCACCCTGAAAAATCGATTTGATCTTAATTTATGTAACGTACGTTTAAGGAAATTACGTTTCATTGTTATTTGCTTGGTTTGTCATTACATTACACAATACCTTTTAATTGGCAAGAAAATATACACACTGACCTATTAGTTATGCATAAAAAAATAATGTAGTTATATGTAAGAAAATATGACACAACTACTAATGTTTAAACCTTACAGTAATATGAAAATAAATACGGTACTAAAGCTCACCTGGTAATCCTGATAGCCCTGTTTCACCTGAAGATAATAAATAATCATAGCAAAGTTTGTGATGGAATAGCTAGAAAAATAACCATAACACCACTTGCCATGGAATAAAATACATGCTAGTTAGAAATAGCCATAGCATGACATGTGATGGAATGAAATTTTTAGAAATAACCATAGTATGATACTTGATGGAATGATATTGTTTGAAAGTATAGCATGACAAGTTATTGATTTTTTTTTTTAGAAATAACCATAGCAACATTTGTGATGAAATACAATAGCTAAAAAAATAACCATAGCAAGACAATTAATGGAATAAAATGGTTAGAAATATGTAATGGAATAAAATAGAAATACCAAAGCAACATTTGTAATGGTATCAACTAAAAAACTAACCATAGCAATACTGATGGAACACAATAACTATAGAAAAATAGCCATAATAAGAAGCTATGGAATATGAAAATTTTAAAAAGCAAACTTGGATTGAAAAAGTTTCATTTGAATCTTGTGAGTACTGTATACAAGAACTGTAGGTGATATATATAAAGTTGTTAAAAATATATTTAGGGAATTATGTTATGTTCTGCACAACAATCTTGTTGATTTTTTATATGACAAATTTTTCGTTTCCTTTTCATTGTAATTGTTGAATCTTTATGGAGACTCTTAAAGCCTTAATTCCGTTAAAAATGTACGTGTATAACAGAATATAGTGCTCGTATTTTACCTTTTTCTCCTAGTATACCTGAAAGAGAATAACCAAACGTGTAAAATGTGAAGATAACGAACAGTGATCAATTTCATTAATCCAGTAATTTCCAGTAATTAAAACGGATCGTGAACAGGTTGTTTAAAAATTTTAACTAAATTCATTGTTCTATAGTAATTTTGAGAAGCAAAAAAGGAGATATTTTCATACACCACCGTTCCGCCAAAAATATTTAATTAGAATTAAAACTTTTATTACTTATGTTATTCTTTATTGGGTACATATTCCTGAAGTTAAAATATCAAAATACAAAAGGAAATATCTATCTAAAGAATGCCATTCTTACCCTTGTCTCCTCGTTTACCTACAAACATGAAAAAGGCACACCAGTGCTATATAACTTCTTACTGTATTTGTCAAGGGTTTCAGATATTTTTTGATAACTTCAAGACAACATTTGTCAGTTGTATCATAAGTTTAAAACATGATGGAGATACACTTATCAAAATGCCTGCTTTTAAGAACAGGTTGAATTATGCATATTTTAAAATTTTGAATAAGGAATATATACTATATATACTTACCAGGCAATCCAGGTATACCTATAAAATTAACTTTATTAAAGTAATAATTACGTGAAAGAATCACCTTTCATATAACAATTAATGATTCAAACAGAGAAGATTTTCTTTAAAAGCTACTCGATACGTATTATTATTTCCCTTTAAAATCTACTCGATACATATAATTATCAAAAATAAAAATTTTCTTCATATGTCTTTTCGAAATAAAAAAAAAAGAATACTGCATAGGTGAAAAATATATCGCCGATTTTTTTTAGTCTAAAGTTTATTCTAAAATATCTTTCTATACACCTTGAAGTTATAATCTATATATATTCGCTACAATGGTATTAAAAGGGAAAATAAGTGTAAGTATTTTAAAATCTATATAGTTTTACCTCCCTATCTCAGTAAGAAAAGTGAAACTCACCCTCTTCACCCTTTTCACCTTTACACCCTTTTACTCCTTTTCCATCGATTCCTGGCTCTCCTGACAAAGCAATAAGAATTTATATGGCAACAAATATCTAAGATACCAGGATCATGAAACAGACTTAGACTTAAGTCAAATTTTTAATCTTCTTTAAAATATTTATTATTTATTGATTAATCTCTAATCTTGCAGATAACAACACTTTTGTAAAGCAATATTGTAAAATAGTTTGAATCTCGCCTGTTTGACTTCTAAAACATTTTAGTACAACAGAAATTTTTTGACTTAAGCTTATAAGATGTTTCATGATCCCGGGGCCTGGCTCTCCTGACAAAGCAATAATTTATATGGTAAAAATATCACATACTCTATGATTTCTGGCTCTTCTGACAAAGCAATAACAAGAATTTATATGGCAACAAATATCACGTATTCTATCATGAGATATTTTCATAATATTCATATTATATAAATATTAAAATTATTATGCTCTTTATTAGTCCCCTACCGGTGAAACCGGAGGGGACTATAGGTTTCCTCTGAGTCTGTCCGATCGTCTGTCTGTCTGTCTGTCTGTCCCTCTGTCTGTCTGTCAGTCTGACCCACTTGGTTTTCCGCACTTTTTTCCTAAACGCTTGCAGATATTGAGCTGATTTTTGGTATGTGAGTGTATCTTGATGAGTTACAGATCAAGTTTGCATTTCGTTCCGCTTCATTGAATTTTGACGGAATTACGGACTTTTCAATTTTTAGGGATTTTCCGCAATTTTCTTCTTAACGCTTTCAGATATTGAGCTGATTTTTGGTGTGTTTTAACTTTGATTAGTTATAGATCAAGTTTGCATTTCGTCCCGCTTCATTGATTTTTGACGGAATTATGGCATTTTCAATTCTTAACGGGAACCAGATTACACTTGCCGGTAGGGGACTAGTATTGCTAATGCAATACTCTCAGAATGCTTGTTTTGATTGTTTTGGTATCAATCATGATATTTTGAAAGTTTCATTCCCACTTTTTCTTTTTATCTTACTTTATTCTTGATTATATTTGGTATCTATCAAATTATTTTGAAAAATTACCCTTTTCTCCTTTAAATCCAGGAGGTCCATGGATGCCTAAAATAAAGAAAAGTTTACTTAAATATTAAATATATAAAACGTTCATTTATATGACATTCGACGACTTCTATTAAAATGACAAAGCGAGAGAAGTACATGTATTTAATATTAATTCTTACCTGGAGCTCCAAGATCACAGTCGGAGATGACTTTCCTGCAAAATCTGTAATCAATTGTCTGAAAAAAATTGAAAGACGTTCAAGAATTGTAACAATTTGTTCCCATTTAATTACCAAAGTCCTCTATGATGATAGGAGAACATTGTATAGATATTACTAAGTTTTATTAGTTTCAAATTTTAAAATAAGATTTCTATATACATTAAATTTGAATTAAAGAAAGTACCTACATTTCATCTAACGTATAATTAAAATCATCAATTTGCCTAAAAATAAAATGCAAGAATATTGAATTCTTTAACAGAAATATTCTAAACAAGATAAGGACTCTTAAATTATTTCATTTTACTCACCACATTATCGACAATGTACATGCTACTACGCCGCAAACGGTTAGTTTTCCCGCGTAATTTTCCCGCGTACCTTGAGTAAATACTTATCGTTTGGTCATCATGTAAACAACTATTTCTGCTTGTAACAAACAGAATACCAGTAAGGCACGTATTTCCAGCAATAAGTAAGTATATTATTTTGATGTGCAAAGCCAGATCACCTTGAGCCTCCATTTTGTTTATGGAAGAAATCTGTAAGCGCTTTCTTATCAGACATTGCCCCGATAGATGCTTTCTCCAGTTATTATAACACTGAAGATATTTTTCCAGTAAAAAAATCTTATCGAGAAATAGTTCTATGATACAACACATTTAAGCTTAGCATTGTTGATTTAGTTTTTCTAGTTCCAATATCTTAGATGCCTTTGTTTATCTCGTCCATTTCTGTGTTGGATCATGGAGCCAAGAATTTTTAATTGATTTTTAAATAATTTCTTACAGATTGATCAACCAGGTGATACAATTAAAAATAATCTACATATAACATCTTAGCAAATCTATCAGGATTGTTTAAAAATAGGATAAAGTATAAACGCAGTTAGCTGAGAAAACATTGTGAAACCACAAATCATTCTTTGAAAAACATATTCAAGAAATAATTTTAAAATAGATTTAATGTGTATTCTCATTTCAATACGTAATGTTGCTGCCTATGCCAAGATTAGTACAGACCCGTAGAACACAGATGTGGGGATCAAGGGGTAAAGAGTAGTATTTTGCTAAAGCAAATTTCCATTTTGATGCTGGTTGCCAAAAAAAAAAAAAAATACCAAAAAGTAAGAGAAAGGTCCAATCCCAACCCCCTCATACAAATTATTCGAGCTTGGACATTTTTCTTGGCTTGTCAGATTTTTTGGGTGGTTACCGCCCACCTTTTGGACAGTTTATTTCATTTTTTTTTAGATTCATAGGGGGGATCGAGCCTTCTCGGACATTTTTGGGAGGTCCCTCATACTCTTTGGACAGTTAAGTTTTTAATATTTTTTGTTTGGTTGTCAGAATTTTTGGGGAGGTTGCCCCTCCCCCCATTTTAAAACAGGGTCTGTAACATAACAATATTAATAAAGTCGTATTCCAGCAAAAAGAAAAGGTCACTGGAAAAAGAGATACTAAAATTGAATAGACGATAACTTCACCATTCACTCATCACCTATTATTATATTATATTATATTATATTATATTATATTATATTATATTATATTATATTATATTATATTATATTACATTATATTATATTATATTATATTATATTATATTACATTACATTACATTATATTAAATTATATTACATTACATTATATTATATTATATTACATAACATTATATTATATTACATTATATTATATTATATTATATTACATAACATTATATTATATTACATTATATTATATTACATTATATTATATTATATTACATTATATTACATTACATTACATTACATTACATTACATTATATTACATTACATTACATTACATTATATTATATTATATTATATTATATTATATTATATTATATTATATAGAAATAAAATTTCGTTCTGGTTTTTAAGCACTATTTGATTGGGAAAAAAATTAGTTTTTACTGTGTTACCTATGTTGCTTTTTATGCAAGCAAAAACATATATATCAGCTATATATATAAAGAGCCATACTAGGGTTAATTACCGGGAGAATTTCTTTTAACTTTCAATATTATTTAACCACATGACATAAAACATATTTATGGGAAAAAGCCATTGTCATCAAATTATTTTTTCAGCAATGCCACTTAAAGTTTGGGGTACAGCCTGACCCTTCTGTGGCAAAATCAGCTTCAAATTAACATTATTCGGCTATATATAAATCAAAGAAAACGAAGAAAAAGGATAATTAAAGAATAACATTTCAATAAATTGACAAAATGATACACAGATATAAATTAAATATTTTTAAAAAGTCATATAACCATATCATTGATGGAATACACTCTAGCTGTAGACTACTGTTTGTCAATTTTCATACATATAAATACTTATTCACAAATATTTTGGTAAATCTCTGGAAAAAAAATCCAAATTGGGAAAAATATATTATTGAACATAGAAGTATCTTTATTTTCATTATGAAAAAAATATTTAAAAGTTGAATGTTTTTACATTTAAATTATAGAAATTTGATCTTTTAGCACTAAGACTCGTTTTTGGAAAGAATGTCATTTCTAAGCATGAAAATTGAAAAGAAAAATAATATTTCTTTTAAAATAATCAATTTTGAATATTTTTTTCTATGTTTTTCATCAAAATCAAAGTCTTGCCAAAGATTTAAGCACAACAAGACAATAAAGCACTTTTACACAGATCAAAACCTTATAATCAGGTACATCCTTCTGAAAAATTCTTAAACACTGAGCCATGCAGTTAATTTTTTTTCACATATAAGTTTTTCACACATACTTTAAAAGCAGCCTTTTTACAATCATTTGGGTAGACTATTAATCCATATCTTAAAAATGTAAAAGGTAAAGATAACAAACAGTGATCTCAAAAAATCCAAAAACAATACAAATATGTGAAGAGTGCATAAAAAACGGATCCCTGAAAATTCCAGACGTGGGATCAGGTGCCGAGGAGGAGTAAGTATCCTCTGTTGACCGGTAACACCCGCCGTGATCGCTAAGTATTGATCAGTTAGACGAATCTATCCGTAATCAATGCAGTATAAAAACAAAGGCCCAAGAACTGGCATAAAACAAGCCAAAATACGACCCAATGATAGGTTATATTTGCAAAAATAAGTTATTATAATGGCCATAAAATTTAGGAAATGTTGACTTTAAACGAGGGAGTTGAAATCCCTGTAACATCAACGTATCAATGAATAGACTCCCTCGCTTTAAATTTGATTGTACTCCGAGCATGCTCTTGAGTAGCGAATAAGTTCGGATAAGCAGCTGATAATGAATATTACTACATAAGGAAAGTTGACGATGGAAAACCTAAAATCATCTCGTTTGTCAAACAATTTAGTTGTTATTTGGCCTTTATCGTCAATAGTTAGTAAAACATCTAAATATATGAAATAGATGTGTCTGACTCTGTGGTGTTATTTATTTCAAGTTCACTGGGATATATTAAGTCGACATACGAATGAAAATAGCTATTGTTAATTGATAAAACATCGTCGATATATCTGAATGTCGAATTGAAGGCTACAGCTAGTGTTTTCCTCTTGAAAACAATTGGGAAAATATATTTAATTTCGGAGTAAAGTATATACTGCGCACGATAGTAGCATTTTGGTTTTACAATATGACGTCAAATGAGCATGGCTTCACCTTAAGGTTTCAATGTGCCATATTTAAGGACACATCATCTTAATTTCTTCACATTGAAGTAAGAAGTGAAATATAATGATAAGGAATGAATTTAAAGTTGCCCAAATTATAGTAAAGTATGATGCGTTAGCTGCCCCAAACCAGGTTAAACGATTAAAACGTTTAAGGTCTGACGACAGGTTGCTCGATTGTCTGTTTTGTATCTCTTCGTAATATACAAAACATTTATCATGAAATATATGGAGATAACGAACAGTATTCAAGCTCAAAAGTCCATTAAAAATTACAAAATAGGTGCAGAGCAAACACAGGCCTCCAAAATATCAGAGGTGGGATCAGGTGCCATGGAGGAGTGAGCATCCCTGCCGACCGGTCACACCCGCCGTGTGCTCCTTGTCATGATCGGGAAATAACGGGAAAATCCGTCGACAATTCAGAGTGTAAATAATGGCCTAACAATTAGTATGAAAAACGTCATCCAGCATTTGACTCAATGATAAATTGTATTTGCTGACAAGGTCATTGTATCGACCATAGAACTTACGAAATGATGACTTTTACATAATTATCATTATCTGGTGATTTTTAAACTGTTTTCAAAATTTCTGAGTAGATAAAGACGTCAAAAGGTTTGATATTGGCAATGCCAGTGATTTCATATAGGATTATATGGTAAATAGCATCCTCTGGTATCTTGCACAAATGCCTGGTAAGGTACCTTAAGTTTGTTATGAGGAAACTTGTTAAAGTAGCAATACTTCAATGATAAATTCTTGGAAAAAATTATAAATTGTTGAGGAATTAGGTGTCGTCTGACCTTAAATTTTGAAGTCATTCCTTAAATAACATACACAACAGATCATATGAGAAAGAAAATTAACAGAGACCCAAGGATTTAAAAAAAGGAAAAGCACTAAATTTATTATGTATATAAATTATTACAAATCACTCATGTAGGTACATGACTGTATTGGTTCAACATCTCCTCTTTTTTCTAATCATTAAAATAATAAATCAATGCATATACTTTTCATTCATTTCAACCAAAGACAAATGCACATATCATTTTAAGATAGAGAAGTTTATACAAACAAAAGTACTAAATATTCTTCGTAGCAATTCATTGAATTCAAGCAAAACATTCAATGTAGTTATTTAAAAAAAACGCTTTTTCCCTAAAATATTCGAAATCAATTTTTCAATTTTGGTATAAAAGTTGTATTTATTTCATGCTTGGATTCAAGAAGCCATGCAGTCTCAATATTTATGAAAAAGGCAATCATTTAAATGTTGATAATCTTAAAGAATAGCAGAAATAACTAAATATTTCAAAGGGACAAATGTAATAAAAGCTTAAAATTCCGTGAACATGAAGAATCGTTGTGCTTACCAATGAATAAAAGTCAAAGGATGATGAGAGGCCAGAGAAAGTAACGTCTTGGTACATTTCGGGTGGCTCCAGGTTGTTCCTTTTGGATCTCTGTGTTTCATCCTCACTGTTGTTTCCGCCATGGGTGAAGGGAAAGTTTGGCCATCTGGCTTCATTTAATCGTTTTAGTTCGGTATAAGCCTCCAACGAAATCCATAGTGCAGCAATGCTGGTGGCGGACAAAACAAACAACAGAATGTATATAATTCTAAGATGAAAGAGCACCCTATGTGTCTCCATCTCACGAACCATGGCAAAAATTGTTCCATTCATACAGATGTTACAAATATAACGAATAAACCAAGAAAAAAATATATTGCAATAGGTAAGTCGTAATCATTCAACAGCATTTCTCTAATAGGTTTAGATAAACTATTGTCTGTCTAGATGCACTTGCATGATATTTCCAATAAGTGTTCGTTAAAAGGGTAAAGTATATCTTGCGGATCAAACGATTTTTATCAGTTCGCCTCCATTCTAACACAGTAGAATTTTTGATTTTCTCTGTAATGAGCACCTCCTGTATTTGCATACGATTGAGGTAGATCTACCGATAAATCCTAATAATCTACTGTACTTAAAACCCCATCCCACAGCTTAGAATGGATCCCTGTTGTTTTCAATATCTTGGGTGAAGGTTGCTCAGTTTTGGGGTTTTTTTTCATCACATATGTTTTACCACAAATCAATTAATAATTCATTTAAAATTACCGCATTATTATGATTTATAACAGCCAAGAACTAAGATTCAGAATTTGGTAGGGATCGAAAAGTGTGACATACTAATATTTATCTTTAAAGCCCAGATGTTTTCTGTTTCTATAAATGTTTTATATGCCCGTAGTGAATGGTGTGTATGTGTACGTATTGGATATGTGTCGCATATAGTTCTGTATTGAGATTAATATCAAACAGACAAATTCCAAACAAAATAAGGAGGCTCTTTATGGACGAAAACGTCTCAATTGTAAGAGGCATATATTGTGTGTAAAAATATTACCTTTCTTTCCAGAATATAAGCTTGAATGAAAGCTACTCAGTATAATGTTGGGAATTTGCTATATTGTAAAAAGTATCAGTTTGGTATGGGAGAATGGGAAACTTTGATTTCAAAATTACAAACACAGAAAATAAAGTAGATGTTGCAACTATGTTACAACTGATATCAATTTCTATTCACGGATTATGAAAATAACTGTACATGTAATATCAAAAAAAAAAAGGAAAAAAAAAAGAAAAAAGATTGTATTCATTATGAATATTGTCTTTTTAATTCTGCTAATTAAAAGTTATATTTCCGTTTAAAATTCTATTTGATATACAATTTATGTTTTAATATAAACAATGTACATAAAATGTATATTTTTCATATTTGTTAATATTAGACTGACTTCAACATCTGCCTGCCAAAGGTAAATTTTAGGACAGCAAGAACAAAGGAATAACGTCTTAACAATCTTTTATTTAATTATAGAGTCTGATCTGTGGTGCCAATGATATCAAGGATTGGAGAATTTTTACAGGTGCGTAGAGGATCTGTAAATTATTTTGAATGAACAACGTTCAACAGCTGCTTAAGTGCTTTATCATTACGCAATAACAAAATGTGTAATGTACTCCTCGTTGTTTTTATTTATTTTTCCCTTTCCATACTTTGTAAACATAAGTTTGCTTTAAAGACATCCAGTTAGTTCTATAGCAAATTTAATTAAATCAGGTGATAAAAGCAGTTCCTATTTTTTCTTATTTTATAAAAAGGCACTTACATGTATATAAAAGCAATGACTGTCATTTTCGTTTGATTTATAATACATATATGTATATAGTTAAAACACCAATTAATATCTTCTTCAGATTGATGTTTTTACACACGTTTTAAAATTTTCTTTGTAACATTTTTTACACTTAATTTTTATCTTGAATCACATTTTTAGATTTAATGCAATGATTTCTAAAAGAAATTCATTTAGTGAACCCTTGCGCACAGAAATGTTTTCTACATAAAATATCTAAGAAGACAGAAGTTAATTTTAAACAACAGTTTACTTTTAGTTTTTATGCCTAAATAAGACTTTAAATTTGAAGTTTAATTAGCAAATAAATGTATTCCATGTAAATTTAAAAAAAAAAAGAACAGAGGCACGCACTTTTAGAAATTTACGCACTTTGAAAAAATTTTTCAAAGTGTTTTAAAATTGGGACAAAATCAACGCACTTTGAAAATTTTTTTCAAAATGCTCTAAATTTGGGACAAAATCAAAGCACTTTGAATTTTATTTCAAAGTGCGTTAAGAGTGTACATCAACATTTTTACCATGGAGACACTTTACACAGTTTGAAAAAAATATGTATAAACCAAAAGCTCTCAGTGGACTTGGATTTTCGTAATTTTTTTTTCCAGGAGCGGAACATTTTTGAATATCAAATTCATTCATATCAAGTTACAGACTGAACAATCACTTATTATTGGCAAAACAATGTGTTTAAAATACCTTTAAATTAGTTTAAACTTAAGTTTTAAAAAAGGTTGAACTTTTGATGAAACTGTTCATTTCACTGAAATATGAAAAAATGAATATATCTACGTCCTTCAAAATTTAAATGAACAAATTTGTTTAAAGAACTACAAATAAGATGTCAAATAGCGACATGCTTTATGGTCAAGAAATAACAAAAGAGCGGCAAATAAAAACGTTCAAATTGACCTAGCTCTTTAAATAAAGCATAAAAACTGAATATACCTCGGCTTTATTGTATGTTTACTGCCTGGAGATTTTATGTGACTATAAAAGAGTGTTTGCAGATACCCCTACAATGCAACTGCTTAAAAGTACATTGTTAAAATTGTCAACAAATTGTAGCTTTGTACAATCTATAATTTGTAAATGAGAAAAGAATGCATATAAAACATTCAACAAGATCAGGAAGCTGATGATAGGATGCCATACACTTTAGTGGAAGACGATCGGAAGCGGCCGCTTACGAAATACGGTACTCGGTGAGGAAAAGCAATCCCCACAAAGGAGGAGGGATATACTAAAACAATAATGGATAATAGCAGGTTTATTGTGCTTATTATGATTTATCTTGCAACTTTTGGAATTAGGTATTTAGTTTGGTGTGAAGTTTTTACGGAATCTGAGCAATCAGCCGTAGATGAGACGATAGAGGAATTAATGAACTGCAAGCAAATTCCAGGTAGGTCACGAGATCCCTGGCACAATGATGTTGGAAATTCTGGCTAGAAAAAATACCAATACTGTATTTACTTTGACATTTTATATGAATGAGCAACATGTGGAAGAAATAATCATGACTCTCCCTCCTTTCTCAATGGTCATTTTGCCAATGTTTAGTGTTTTTTAGTTAAACCAGTTTTCAAAAATTGAAAATGTCACAAAAAGATGCTGATCACACAAAACACTTGCTGCAAAGTACAGATTTATTGTTTTTATGCTTCGTCACGGTACATTGGTTTTCATCGGTGATAAATGATTTTCTTTCAACAATTGTTGAGAAGACTCGTTGGTTATAATAATTTGAAAATATCATACCATTCTATTTTGTAGTTTTTAAATAAATACTTTTATTAGAGTGAACACTTAGAAGTTTTGTTAAGTATATATATATATATATATATATATATATATATATATATATATATATATATATATATATATATATATATATATATATATATATATATATATATATATATATATATATAACAAAAATTCCGGACTAAGATTATAGACTGCATTATTTTGTTTTATTTTTTATATGAATTGATATACCCTCATCGAGAACGAGGAGATGAAAGCTACGAATTCCCTCAGCCCAACTCTTTATCTTTCCTACCCAAATATACATATTAATTTACATAACTGGTATGACATTGATATACGTTTTCTAAATAAATTTGAGTTAACGTAAAATATATGAAACAATTGCGATAAGGTTTTGTTTATAAGATTTTTGTTAGAAAAAAGATATTAAAATTTCAGTCGAGTGAGTAATGTGGCTAATGTTTATTTTTCTTGCTATTAAATATATGAGTTAACCATTGTTTCATATATGTTCACAATAAAAAGATAGATGAATATGATAGATTGATAGATAAAATGATTTAGAGAGAGAGACAGAAAATTTTCATGGTATGGATTGTAGATACTGATATATGTCATCCTACTCTTTGAAAACTAGATCTGAAATTTATTGACTCGGTACATGTACATGTATACATGTATTTCTAAATATATTAAGTTCAAATAATATAAGTGCGTTATGTAACAGTGCACCACTCGACGGTACCTTGCTTGGGAATGTATACCTGTAAAACTATAACGTCATATAATTGCTATTTATTTTGTCAAGCTAATGGATTATACATTTGTACCAAAGAGTTTTTATCGATGTAAATTTGCTCTTCTTTAAAAGTGAGAAAAAGAATTGTGGTGCGCCGACCACCTATTTTTGATACTCTTTAAATGCCGTTTTCATAGGCAAATGAAATTAGAACCCCATACTATAAAGTCAAAAAAAAAAAAAAAAAAAAAAAAAAAAAAAAAAAATCCAACATTGTGCAAAAAATGAATTATTTTGGTCAGGTACTTTATGAGATATTTAAAAAGTTCGCGTTTTTTCTGGGACAGCCCTCGTATTGATCTTTTCACTGTATGAATCCATATTTGCGCAAATATTGGACATAAAGCATAGTTTGTTTTTTACGTTGTACAGTTGTAGTATAGAACAGAATTCATCTCCAAATTGGGGCCTCATGGGGGGTTTATTCCCACCTAGCCAAAAATTTGAATTTCTTATATATGGCATACATAACAACTATGATTACACATAAATTAACATGATACAGTTTAGTACAATTAATGTAACTAAATAGCTCATTGTTCAGTTTGTGTAATAATATTATAATGGTATGATGACTAGATAAAATTGGTAAGACATACTTTCAAGTTGAAGAAATACGTGAAAATATTGCGACTTTTGAATTTAAGTTAAAAAACAAAAATCATGAATAAAACTAATATTTGTGAAAACATATACATTGTACATGTATATCATCTGGAAAATTTTCATTAAATATTAACAAGATTTTGTTCTCATTTTGTGTTAATTCGTATTTTGGAGAAAATCTGTGCAAAACTTCATAAAGGATAGTACATACATGTATATATAGTTACCATAGTATGATGAATTAGAATGTTCTGATCATTTGCATGATACTGTGCTTCCCTAAGATGTCAAAGTTAATTAAATCTAGAATGCACTTGTTATGAAGACGACACACAATTACCTCTGTGATTAACATATCGGTATACAGGTCTAGGGTTGAGTATCACAAAAGGTGACAAGTTCCTGGCCAAAGGTTATGGAGTGTCGGACGCGGTGGAGGGCATCCCTATGACAAAAGACACTGTGACGTGTATCGGGTCCACGACTAAGGCGTTCACGAGTGCCCTGCTAGGCGCGCTCATAACACGTGACAAGAGTCGGGGAGGAAGGTGAGTTATATTAACCGTCACATGAACAAGACTTCTTCAAATAAAACTACGACAGTACTTATAACAAAAAATAGTAGAGGAGTTTATCTATGGCAAAATGCAAGAAAGATATTCAAAATAGATTAATTGACACGATTGCAGAAAATGCCCCCCCTCCCCAGTTGAAAAGGCATAGGTAATGTTCTGGTGATTTATTTATTACATATTATTACATGTACTAGCATATTATTTATATAGCTTGTTAGTTCTTTAAAACTTGATAATAATATTTTCAAAATTTCAGTTTATCATGGACGACAAGCTTGCGAGAAATATTTGGTGACAACTTTGGTTTGACCTCTGACCCAGTGATAAGTTCACAGGTCACACTAGCAGATATTCTGTCACATCGCACCGGCGTTGCCTCGGCGGACGCGTTGCTGATGGCGCAGATTTATACAGAGAACAACAGAGATTTTTTACTCAGGTTAAAGCAATTCCTGAAATCTAAATATTTATGTTAGTGGAGCTTTTCTGGCTTGCAACTGGATAACATGATTAATTGACGGATGAAGGGATTCCATTGTCGATTTTGTTTGAAATGTACAACGATTTTTGCATTCACTTTCATATTTTTAACCTATACATCTATAGAGCCCTTTGTAAAAGCCTCGATAACTTACGAAAAACTATATAAAAAAATACCATAGATGTCATCATTCTTGTGTCTCTCTTGACGATAGATAATTTTTTTTTTATTGCTTAACGTCTTATGACAATAAGTTATATTTTCAGCAATACTTGAACAATACCAAGTCATTCTGAAATAAAAATAATTTAATTACGCAGGCGATTGTATCTTATGCCGAAGAAAGGAGTATTTCGTGGTCAGTTTAGTTACAACAATTTAATGTATGGCTTGGCGGGGCTGGCAGCCGAGGCTATAGGGAAAAAGCCCTACTATGAGTTACTAAAGGAGATGTTACTAGATCCCTTAGGAATGAAGTCTGCTGTGTTAGTGGATGACTTAAATTTCACCAAGAACACCACCAGTAAGCCACATCAGATAACCAACCGATCATTCCGGATAAGTGATACAAAATTCTATAGGTAATACATTGATAAGGTGGGATTAACATGTGCAAAGGATAGCTCTATAAAGCTCCATTTATCTGTCCGTCTGACTGCATTAACAAGTGTGTTTAACTGTTGTGGTTCACACTATTGTGATGGCCTAATCACATGCGCGGATCTAGAAGGGAGGGGGAGGGGTACGGAACCTCCCCCCCCTGAAATTTGCAGAATTATTAAAAATATCATGGCCATTTTATACTTAAAGTGAACCTAGCGCTTTGCATCCCATATAAAAATGAAATCTGAACCCTTGGTGCTCATCTACATGGCATCACCAATCACATTCCCAAAGATGGTTTGGCTTCAGCAAATAACTTGAATAATATAAGAGGATATCTTGGAACAAATTCTTCTAGAAACAAGGAAGTCTGACGAGAATGTATAGCTCTACTGATTTGTATTGATAGCAATGGCAGAGGAATTTTAAAATAGAATAATGATCGAACAATTCAAAGAAGGATGACAGTTTTTAAGATGTCCTAAAGTTTATAATTTTACACTTTAAGATGCAAGTTAGGATGGGTTCAAGAAACTATGTTTTATGCTCTCTTCACAAATTTGTGTTGTTTATGGATTTTTTTTAGATCGATCACTGTTCATTATCATTACCTTTTAAATTTTGAAATTGGTGTATACAGCTGTACATGTACATTGATATGACATTGCGTTGACTGTATAAATCAAGAATTGAACTCGTGCAGAAAGTTTGCATCTTTCCCTTTGCTAAGTTACTGATATATTTATCATTAAAGGTTAGGTTCCTTCTCCCCAGCAGGAGGGATATGTCTATCACCAGCTGATTTCAACAAATGGCTGTTTTTCCTAAATAGCAGAGGAAGAACACAGTCCAAGAAGACAATCATCAGCAGCATGTTTTTTCTCGACATGATCTTACCAACAGTGGCACTAGACATTTTAACCCAGTATTCATTTGGTCTGTATAAAAACTTTCCTGAGCCCTCCTACACTTCTTGGTACGGATTGGGATGGTTTGGGCGCTTCTATAGAGGTAAAAATATTCTTCACCATTTCCTTTTAAATAAGACACCATAATCCATTTCTTCCCAATCAAGATAGAAGAGATACATGTTGTATCTGATTTATGGAGTGTTCTCTTATCAAGAGGTTTATTGAATGATCACCTCTTGGAGAAATTACGGAATAACATAATTGGCTAGACCAAAGCATTGTATTAGATACAAGAGGTTCAAGGACCAAAGCTCACCTGAGCCACTCTTTTCTTCCTCATTATTGTATATAGTACAAAGTACTTGTACATGAATGAATGAAATATATGGAGATAACGAACAGTATTCAAGCTCAAAAGTCCATTACACAATACAAAATAGGAGCAGAGCAAACACGGACCTCCAAGCATCAGAGGTGGGATCAGGTGCCATGGAGGAGTGAGCATCCCCTGCCGACCGGTCACACCCGCCGTGTGCTCCTTGTCATGATCGGGAAATAACGGGAAAATCCGTCGACAATTCAGTGTGTAAATAATGGCCTAACAATTAGTATGAAAAACGTCAGTCAGCATTTGACTCAATGATAAATTGTATTTGCTGACAAGGTCATTGTATCGACCATAGAACTTACGAAATGATGACTTTAAACGAGACAGCTGATATTCTTGTTTCATCAACTTATTTGTCAATAATTTACCTCGTTTTAGAAATTGTACATACGTAGAGCATGCTCTTGCGTATCGAATCAACTGAGAGATATATACCCCGTATGCAGGTGATGAAGGTATATTGCTGCATAAGTAAGGGGAAGTTGACGACTGAAAAGTTAAAGTCATCACGTTTATCATAAAGCTTGGTTGTTAGATTACCATTAACGTCTTTTTCAAGTAAAATATCCAAATATGAAACAGATGTGTCAGACTCTGTGGTATCTTTTATCTCAAGTTCACCAGGATATATCGTATCGACATAAGAATGAAAATAGCCATTGTTTATTGACAATACGTCGTCGATATATCTAAATGTCGAGTTGAACGCCACAGCAAGTGTTTTCTTCTTTTCACGTACAAGATTTTGGACAAATTCTGCTTCATATGAATACAAAAAAAGGTCTGCTAATAACGGGGCGCAATCTCTCATTATGTTCACCAAGCTAAAGCCCCTGATGTCAACAATTTTAATATGTACAAATATTTGAGCACATGGATCAGTGGTCATAGGTATTTGGCCAGTAACCCAAGGTCACTGGTTCAAGCTCTGCTTTGGGCACCCAGCTGTAATGGGTACCGGCTTATGCTGGAAGTTAATCTGTAATGGACTCCCATCCAGGGAGAATCAATGACTCGACCACTTAGTACCACAGATACTGGATATAAACATTGAGCTCATGAGCCTCCTGAAGCCGGATTTGACTTTTTTCAATACATTGAGAGGATGTTGACTAGTCTTATTATATATATCTTTATTAAAGCACGGTCTCAGAAACTAAGAAGTAGCCACATTTAACAAACTATTTACCCAGAAATATACAGATGTCAACAAAAATGACAAAGAATTTATTACACATGCCTGTAAGAAAAGCTCACTTAAGTCTCTGGCTCATTTGAGCTAATGGAAAGGGTGAAGGTTAATACAGTATATGTATTACTACTCAAAGGCATTTAGAAAATTCTTTCTAGATTCACAAAGTAGAGTGGCATGTAATTCTGTAACTAAATTAAAAAAATTTGACAACAATATAGTAGGAATTATGAAATTGTTAATAAATATTATCCATTCAAACACTTCTTTCAGCTAATGTTGATTTCTTCCATGGTGGATCCATGTTCTCCTATTCTGCTGTGGTGGTTACAGACCCAGAAACACAGATTGGAATTGCTGTGACACAAAATGGACTATATCCAATATCCTTGGAAAGGGATCTCTATCCCCTCGCTTACTACCTGAAGGACATCCTTCAAGGTCAAATCCCATGGCTGAATAAATCCACCATTTGTTCCTATCCTGAACCCTGGCAGAGGTCCTATCCGATCCAACTACCAACACAAAATGTAAAGGAAAGATATGTGGGAGATTCAGAGGAATTTGTGGGCACCTTTGGTCATACTTTGTTTGGTGAGGTTAAGGTAACAGACAACAACGGTTCCTTGGATTTGCAGTGGGGGAATATAATCAAAGGAACACTTTACGATTTTGTGAAAAAAAAATTGAATTTCAAACTGAGATTGCAAGATGAGACCTATCAAGTAATTGGGTATGAATTAGGCTCGATAGATATTCTATTTCAAGAGAAATCCTCAGGTAAATACACAAAAGTGGAAATTAAATTCTCAAAAGTAATGGAGATTTATGATTTTAGCCGACAGATTTCATTCTTTTCTCCTTCAACATCCTCATCAACAGTCAAATTGTGTTTCCATAAAACTAAAACATCTCTGTTGTACACCCTTTTCCTTATCCTTATTAATGTTTTTAGCTCATTATAAAATACTTTACAATAGACATAATTGTGCAGTTTACAAATCATCATTTAATATTTTCAAGTGCCCATTAAGAAGTTAGCCTGTGTATGAACACATATACAGGATATCATGTGTCCTTCATTACACTGGCCCATTTCTCTGATGAAGGCTCTGTAGGTGTCACTAAGTGGGTGGGGACACGACTCCCCCCTGGTGCGTTCTCTGGTACAATAAATCTATCCCAGTCTTGTCTGTCAAAATAAAAGGTTTTATATAAATATAACCAGAACAAGTAGCCTAAGGATCACGGCTCTACTTTACCATTTTTTCTTACTTGTTAGTCAGACAAGTGACTGTGAATTTTACTTGTCCAACCTTTATTTTTACTTGTCCATTTTTTTTTCAATAAAGAATAGACACCTTGAAAAATTTTGTAAATAAAATACAGTGTATTATATTCTCACTGAGTCTGATTTTCTTTACAAATAATGGAAGAAATGTCTGTCCTGTTTAATTTGCTTGATTAAAAGGAGAAATAAAATAGAAATAATATCACATGCTTTAGGTTTTATATCAAACCATTATTTGCTTTTTTAAAAACTCTTTTTATTGCCCTTGTTTTCTCTTGCCTATTATTGAAAACTCAAACTTAAAAAAAAAAAAAATGCCTCCATAGTGCATTACCATCTTGATGATGACCGGAAATGAAATTCACTATTTCAATCAGGATCAACGCTGAATATTTATGAATAGCATGCTTTTGATTTGCACTTCCAACAAAAAGTTCAGTTGACAGCAACTTTTTATTGTTTTTTTTCTTTTTCTTTTTTTTTTTTTTTGAACTTATGAAAGAAATAAAATTTTCAAAGAAAAATCACTTGTCCAATTGGACAGAGTCCAGCAATATTCACTTGTCTGTGAAAAATTTTCTTTGGTACCGGACAAGCGGACAAACGTTAATGCTGTGCCCTGAGGATCTTTAATCTACTGAATATTAAAATTTTACTTCAAACCTCTCAAATAATTAAGTCTTTTTTATATGAATATTATATCATTATTCTTTTTTTTATACATGTATGTTATACCAATATTTTCATGATACTCAAAAATATCACTTGAATTCTGATTCGTGTATTCTGTATAGCTATAAATACTTGTATCAGGCTTGTGAATTTGTGACATAATAGTCTTCTTACCTTATTTGAATGAAGGACTCATAACTGTAATTAGCCTGATCATAAAACTGATAAAATGGCAACATTGCTTCTCCCTCAGAGAAATTTTCTGTAAAATATTAACAATACATGGAAAATCAAAATACATTTAAGTATTAATATTCCGCTTGATGCAGGGATGTTAGATAAAACATTTATTTATTTATTTATGTGATTTTTTTTTTTAAAATTTTGTTTGATGCTATTTTAATATATTTTATATGTTCATCTACATATACAGATATACATACAAAATTGCAAATATTTTTGTAAGTGCAATATTACTTATCATCTTAAATTTTCTCATTGGTTTTTAAAAAGAACACCAATACAAGTTGAATTATATATCTTCTATGAATATACGCAATTAATTTGATTGAATCAGAATTTTGATAAATAAAATGAAAGAAAATCTTTTACTGATTTTTATATACCAATAAACCTGTAAGAAAATATACAATATTCTTGTTCTTACATTACTACATAAGGCAGTAATAAAAACTCTGTAATTATCTTCAATATTTTGCTTTTTGGTAGTGTATTTCAACAGTCTGATTAAAATCAAACCTTCACTAGCTCCTTTTTATTTTGATTGTCACGTCAAAATAAAAAGGAGCTAGTGGAGGTTTGATTTTAATCAGAGTGGTATTTCAATCAAACAAAAGCATTTATAATATGACCAGCAGCATTCAGTGAATGTAAACTTCATACTAACACAGTCTTAATATTTTAACTTCAAAACTGTGCTTGAAGACAGAGCTCAAGGTGTACATTGATCTTTACATGTACAGTCAAACCTCATTATCTGGAACTCAATGGGACCAAGAAAAAAGTTCAGAATAACCGAGTATTTAAGATATCAGGTCAAAATACTTAAAAATAAGTAATTGTGACATCCAATCCACTTCAGCATATCCATGGTATCCAAATTATTGGTGTTTGAGATACCAACGTTCAACTGTACATTAACAAAGTGACAGTGAAAGATGACGCTTTGGATCTTCTGTGAAAGGTAATTCATGTATTACTAATCCCAAAAGACTCATTAAAAGTAGAAAAATGGGAAAATTATCAGAAAGTTCATCTTTGCCTAATTAATAAGAGAACTTTACAAAATTACCCCCATAGCCTTCATCTGAATGACATACAGAATCATACAGATATCAATATTTGTGTTAGTACCTGCTGAAACAGAACTGACCCCAACAGAACATAACTTACCAGATTTCCCAAACATGATTTCCTGTAATTTTTTACTCTCTCTCTCCTTCTGCAGTCTCTGTACTTTCTCCTGTTGTTCTCTCTCTTTCTCCTTCGTCTCTTCATGTTCCGTTTCTAACATGACCTTTATAAAAGAAACATTTAAGCCATAAAATGGACATTTCATAACAAGAACAGAGGAAGTCTAGGTAAACTTTAAATGTTAATAATATCCCACCTGCAGAGCTTTTTCCTCTGCTAAGTAAATCTCCTTCTGTTTCTTCATGGTATTAAACTGTTCATCCATAACCTCTTTAAACTTCTCATCACTTGCAGGGTTTGCATGAACACCTATAAGAAGAAAAACAAGGGAAAAGCTGTCAATGTGACAGCAAACCTGGTTTTCTTTTGCGTGAACAGTACTAGTGTTCCTCACATAAATTATAAAATCTTCCTGTTCAGATAACTATAGGGGGTGACATCAGAAAACTATAGGAGCTGTGACATCCGAACAATACCAATGTACCCTATGAACATTTTGCATAAAAAATGACTAAATTCAACAACTGGTATTTTTCTCATAAATTATCAAAACTCAAAATCCAAGTCCAATGCACATCTCTTATATAAAAGTTAGTCAAAGAATAATTGGCCTGCAAAATAAAAACTTCTATCTTGAAAACTGTAGGAGGAGCTATCCAAACAAATGATGTACCCCACATGCGATATTTTGCATAGAAATGACAAAGTTCAACTGCATGTCACCGCATATTGATATCTGAATTTCTTTAAGTCTATCGCTGCATTATGATGTCTGACCTTGTTGTTTAAGTCTATCACTGCGTAGTTTCCTCAGCTTTTGGATTCCTTTCAATAAGTCCAAGGTTTTTGTTACATCACTTATTTTCTTCCGGACTTCATTCAGAATGGCATCTGCTGACTTTTTCAGTTCCTTGGCCTTAAATCATAACAAATATCATTTACATGTATATGATATAGATTTCAACAGAATTTGAGAGAAGTTTCTATAAATATCCTGTAAATTCATGTTCTTCCTAGTTCCACCTGGGCCCTTGTAACCCTTAATTGTGAATGGAAAACATAAGTATGACACAGAAGTTGCTTTTGATCCATACTGTTGTAGAGTATGGTAACCTATATAATTCTTCTCTAAACAATGAAGAATATAGAAACATACTTATTGTGGACACAGAGGTTACTAATAAATCTTCCTGCATTAGAGTGCTGTTCGATGAACATGGTACAGCTAAAACAATGAATCATGGGACAATATCTAACAATATTTCACTGCCTTCTTTGTTCTGCTATTAATGGGACATAATGGTTGCAACACTACAGAAAAAATACATACATTATCTATTGTCTTCAAAATAATGCAATATGTATTGTTTATAGATTTACTGTATTGTTAAACACCTGGTAAATGTACATGTATATACTAAATTCACAGAAACTACATTTAACTGTTTAATTACATTTGATGCTATTCAATTTTTGCATGGTTTAGTTTATCTTCAATTTGCATAATAAGTAAAGCTATACAAAGAAAGATAAGCACTGTTTCACCTCTCTTTCCTCATTTGCTTTCTTCCTTAATTTCTCCTGCCATCCATCAATCTCAGCATGTAAATTATTTCTCTTTTCTTCTTCTCTTTGCTTTTCTTCCCATTGTTCTTGTCTTCTTCTTTTGAGTCTCTCCTACAAAAATAGATATTATGTTATAGAAGGTAAATATATCAACAAATAAATACAGAGGGTTTATATTTCTTTAAAACTGGATGTATTTGTGCTACTTCAAGTCTCTGGTAATGGCTATCCACTTCTTTGTAAACATATTGAATTCCTATCACCAAAAACTTGTGTATAAGTTATAAATCGTTGAATTTTAGATACAGGTGTGAGGGTATGTGTGTGAGGGTGTGTGTGGAGAAATTCTTTTTATGTATGATAGCTATATCATTAATTTTCTTATCATTTTTTGCTAACTCTTAAACAGAGAAAATTTATTCTTTTTTTTTTCTTTTTTAATTTTTTTTTTAATTTTTCTCACTGCTGAATTTCACACAACTCTGAATATGAAGTAATTCAGGTGCATGAATTTTTCGTAATAACAAATTCTCATTTTTATGTATATAAATACTTTATGGTACCTGTAAAGTCAGAATTACTGAATAGACATGAATGCTATATCATTTTCATTCCCAGTACACATTTTTATAAATCATTCCAGAAAGTTTTCCTAAGAATCACTAGAAAGGATACAAAATATATTTGTTCTGAGATAAAGGATATGAAGGAATCAAGAGTGCAATTATTTCTAAACAAGTCTTCATTTGACCAGACTGAAAAAAAGAAGTGTCAATTGTATTCAAAAAATAACAATCTGTTTAAAACGAATTTAAAAAGATCTTATTATCAATATAAAAAAATGACAAGATGAAAAGTAAGCATGAACATATACATTCTTACCAGTTACATT